GGTCTCTGTCACTCCCCTGTTTCTGTGGTTTCGGTCACTCCCCTGTTAGTGTGGTCTCTGTCATTCCTCTGTTAGTGTGGTCTCTGTCACTCCTCTGTTAGTCTGTTCTATGTCACTCCCCTGTTAGTGTGGTCTCTGTCACTCCCCTGTTATTGTGGTCTCTGTCACTCCCCTGTTAGTGTGGTCTCTGTCACTCCCCTGTTAGTGTGGTCTATGTCACTCCCCTGTTAGTGTGGTCTCTGCCACTCCCCTGTTAGTGTGGTCTCTGTCACTCCCCTGTTAATGTGGTATCTGTCACTCCCCTGTTAGTGTAGTCTCTGTCATTCCTCTGTTAGTGTGGTCTCTGTCACTCCTCTGTTAGTCTGTTCTATGTCACTCCCCTGTTAGTGTGGTCTCTGTCACTCCCCTGTTATTGTGGTCTCTGTCACTCCCCTGTTAGTGTGGTCTCTGTCACTCCATTGTTAGTGTGGTCTATGTCACTCCCCTGTTAGTGTAGTCTCTATCACTCCCCTGTTAGTGTGGTCTCTGTCTCTCCCCTGTTAGTGTGGTCTCTGTCACTCCTCTGTTAGTGTGGTCTCTGTCACTCCCCTGTTAGTGTGGTCTCTGTCACTCCTCTGTTAGTGTGGTCTCTATCACTCCTCTGTTAGTGTAGTCTCTGTCATTCCTCTGTTAGTGTGGTCTCTGTCACTCCTCTGTTAGTGTGGTCTCTGTCACTCCCCTGTTAGTGTGGTCTCTGTCACTCCCCTGTTAGTGTGGTCTCTGTCACTCCCCTGTTATTGTGGTCTCTGTCACTCCCCTGTTAGTGTGGTCTCTGTCTCTCCCCTGTTAGTGTGGTCTCTGTCACTCCCCTGTTAGTGTGGTCTCTGTCACTCCCCTGTTAGTGTGATCTCTGTCATTCCCCTGTTAGTCACTCCCCTGTTAGTGTGGTCTCTGTCACTCCACTGTTAGTGTGGTCTATGTCACTCCCCTGTTCGTGTGGTCTCTGTCACTCCCCTGTTAGTGTGGTCTCTGTCACTCCCCTGTTAGTATGGTCTCTGTCTGTCCCCTGTTAGTGTGATCTCTGTCACTCCCCTGTTAGTCACTCCACTGTTAGTGTGGTCTCTGTCACTCCCCTGTTAGTGTGGTCTCTGTCACTCCCCTGTTAGTGTGGTCTCTGTCACTCCCCTGTTAGTGTGGTCTTTGTCACTCCCCTGTTAGTGTGGTCTCTGTCACTCCCCTGTTACTGTGGTTTCTGTCACTCCCCTGTTAGTGTGGTCTATGTCACTCCCCTGTTAGTGTGGTCTCTGTCACTCCCCTGTTAGTGTGGTCTCTGTCACTCCCCTGTTAGTGTGGTCTATGTCACTCCCCTGTTAGTGTGATCTCTGTCACTCCCCTGTTAGTCACTCCCCTGTTAGTGTGGTCTCTGTCACTCCACTGTTAGTGTGGTCTCTGTCACTCCCCTGTTAGTGTGGTCTCTGTCACTCCCCTGTTAGTGTGGTCTCTGTCACTCCCCTGTTAGTGTGGTCTCTGTCACTCCCCTGTTAGTGTGGTCTCTGTCACTCCCCTGTTACTGTGGTTTCGGTCACTCCCCTGTTAGTGTGGTCTATGTCACTCCCCTGTTAGTGTGGTCTCTGTCACTCCCCTGTTAGTGTGGTCTCTGTCACTCCCCTGTTAGTGTGGTCTCTGTCACTCCCCTGTTACTGTGGTTTCGGTCACTCCCCTGTTAGTGTGGTCTATGTCACTCCCCTGTTAGTGTGGTCTCTGTCACTCCCCTGTTAGTGTGGTCTATGTCACTCCCCTGTTAGTGTGGTCTCTGTCACTCCCCTGTTAGTGTGGTCTCTGTCATTCCTCTGTTAGTGTGGTCTCTGTCACTCCTCTGTTAGTCTGTTCTATGTCACTCCCCTGTTAGTGTGGTCTCTGTCACTCCCCTGTTATTGTGGTCTCTGTCACTCCCCTGTTAGTGTGGTCTCTGTCTCTCCATTGTTAGTGTGGTCTATGTCACTCCCCTGTTAGTGTAGTCTCTATCACTCCCCTGTTAGTGTGGTCTCTGTCTCTCCCCTGTTAGTGTGGTCTCTGTCACTCCCCTGTTAGTGTGGTCTCTGTCACTCCTCTGTTAGTGTGGTCTCTATCACTCCCCTGTTAGTGTGGTCTCTGTCACTCCCCTGTTAGTGTGGTCTCTGTTACTCCTATGTTAGTGTAGTTTCTGTCATTCCTCTGTTAGTGTGGTCTCTGTCACTCCTCTGTTAGTGTGGTCTCTGTCACTCCACTGTTAGTGTGGTCCATGTCACTCCCCTGTTAGTGTGGTCTCTGTCACTCCCCTGTTAGTGTGGTCTCTGTCACTCCCCTATTAGTGTGATCTCTGTCACTCTCTGTTAGTGTGATCTCTGTCACTCCCCTGTTAGTCACTCCTCTGTTAGTGTGGTCTCTGTCACTCCTCTGTTAGTGTAGTCTCTGTCACTCCCCTGTTAGTGTGGTCTCTGTCACTCCTCTGTTAGTGTAGTCTCTGTCATTCCTCTGTTAGTGTGGTCTCTGTCACTCCTCTGTTAGTGTGGTCTCTGTCACTCCACTGTTAGTGTGGTCTCTGTCACTCCCCTGTTTGTGTGGTCTCTGTCACTCCCCTGTTAGTGTGGTCTCTGTCACTCCCCTGTTATTGTGGTCTCTGTCACTCCCCTGTTTGTGTGGTCTCTGTCACTCCCCTGTTAGTGTGATCTATATCACTCCCCTGTTAGTGTGGTCTCTGTCACTCCCTTGTTAGTGTGGTCTCTGTCTCTCCCCTGTTAGTGTGGTCTCTGTCACTCCCCTGTTAGTGTGGTCTCTGTCTCTCCCCTGTTAGTGTGGTCTCTGTCTCTCCCCTGTTAGTGTGATCTCTGTCATTCCTCTGTTAGTGTGGTTTATGTCACTCCCCTGTTAGTCTGGTCTCTGTCACTCCCCTGTTAGTGTGGTCTCCGGTGCCAAAGATCCCATTTCCTTCTAATCAATGTGTGTTCCAGATTCATCACATATTAGGGAGCTGTCAGCTTCCATTTACACTGATGTTGGATCATCACTATCCAATAGCTCTCCCTCTCCCTCTCCCTCTCCCTCTCCCTCTCCCTCTCCCTCTCCCTCTCCCTCTCCCTCTCCCTCTCCCTCTCCCTCTCCATCTGCCTCTCCTCTCCTCTCCTCTCCTCTCCTCTCCTCTCCTCTCCTCTCCTCTCCTCTCCTCTCCTCTCCTCTCCTCTCCTCTCCTCTCCTCTCCTCTCCTCTTCTCCCTCTCTTTCTATGTTGTCACTCTAGTCTACACACTCAATCTCGCTCTTTCTTGCTATACTCAATATGTGTGTGTGTCTGTGTGTATTCACCCACACGTGGAGCCCTATATGGGAGTGTGTTTTTTGTGTAGTAGCTCTCTGTGACGGTACAAATGTGTGTGTGTGTGTTGTGTGTTGTGTGTTGCCTGCAGGAATGTGTCCTGTCTAAGCAGATCCATGTGACTCTGCCCCGTCCGTCCGTCCCTCTCAGAAGTATTAGATTAGTTTAAAGTGGAGGGAGATAGAATTATAGAACCCACATGACTTCAAAGTACATCATCGCAGCCCAGGTCTCTGTCACGTCCCATCTCTCCATTTCTCCAGACCTCTATCCTTCTCCTCATCCCCCTGCTTTCATGTCTTTCCCAGTGTGATTCATTCCATCACTCATTTAGCACATGATGACTGAATCATACAGAATGATAGTTTTTCACAGTGAGAGGTAATCAGATGTGATCCTAAAGATAGTCCTGCTTATCACCCTAATTTGCGGCCAATTACCACCCTGGACTCCTTCATGACCAATTATCACCCTGGACTCATTCATGACCAATTATCACCCTGGACTCATTCATGACCAATTATCACCCCGGACTCCTTCATGACCAATTATCACCCTGGACTCATTCATGACCAATTCAGAATGGAGGAAGGGAGAGGGGGCGTGGCCTGTTCTATGTTTACCAGTAAGACAATGAAACCTTTACTATAGGCCTACTGAGCACCAGTGTTTCTCTGCTGTGGCATCTCCAACGTCTACCTTGATAAATAGACTTGATAAAGTAAGTTCAATAATACGGTGGTGGTAGGTGGGGAAAAAACTAAGAGTTGGTCATTATCGACACCTTGTGGTTTTTGTCAGGAACCACAGTTGTTGGGTATGTTTACAAAGCCCTCTAGTATCCAGTCGGATGGATCCATGTACTGTATATGTGAGGAATCTACAGAGATACAGTCTATGCTACAGAGAAAGTGTCAATCTTTATTTAAATAAGAAATAATCCAGCCATATAAAACAAGATGTCACTATAACATAAAAACAAAGGATAATCCATGTCATCTAACCATGGCAGTATGAATGTAGATTTTTCAGCCAGCCTCTTCACCATCTTTTCATCATTACAATGTCCCACTGACCTGATGAGGTCAAAACACCCCACTACAAACACTCAACATCAGGTGATGACCCAAAAGACCTGATGACACACTTTGAAACCGGCAGAATGAGGTCAAAACAAGAAGGCTGTGTTTTCTTCTGCACCGGGCCCCAAAAACTTCATGGCCTTTTTCCTTCACACGATCCTCTTGTCCATTTTGAAAACCCAGTCTGAATAATTCACATACTCCTGTTGTGCTTGTGTGACTCTGGCAGCTGCTTCACACAGAACACAGAACACAGGTCAAGTGTAGATGATGGGTGTGTTGGTTGGAATAGAGTAGACCAATGGAGGGAGCCACTTGGGAGAGTCCATTGAGGGGGAGGGGAGGGAGGGCATCTCCAAATAATATACAGTACTGCAAGTGAGACATTGACCCGCCCCTGTTCTCTGACTGTCAGTATGGTACAGAGATATTAGTTAGGTACTGTATGCCTAATCAGGGATGAACTCAGACCTCTCTCTCTCTCTCTCTCTCTCTCTCTCTCTCTCTCTCTCTCTCTCTCTCTCTCTCTCTCTCTCTCTCTCTCTCTCTCTCTCTCTCTCTCTCTTGCCTCCCAAGTCCGTCTCTTCACCTGAGTGTCTTGTGCCACAGGTCGAAGCAGGGCACCACGTGTAGCCTGACGTACTTGTGCCCGCCGGAGGAGCACTCCAGACAGCCGTAGACCGTCTCCCTCGGCGTCTGGCCCCGGCCACACAGGGCACAGGGGCCCTTGGGGATGTTGTGGTTGAGGAGGTTGACGCGGGAGTGGGAGTCCCCTCTCAGGTAGGTGGTGGAGACGTCCGTCATGCTGGCTGCCTTTTCGTAGTAGTCTGTCACTACGTCGTCCATGTAGGTGTCTGAGTGGGTGTGGGTGAGCTCCTCAAACGTCCTGTCGTCTTGAGTAGGGGAAAGGAAGGATGAGGATAAGAGTGTCACTGTAACATCTGAAAATGTGCAGGGATTATTTTGCTTTCACTCATTAGCTTTACATCACCCTGTGCTTTTATTAGCATTTTTTATCAGTGAAGGCTGGTGGGAGGAGCTATAGGAGGACGGTCTCATTGTAATGGCTGTAATGTAATAAATGGAACGTATCAAACACATAAAAATATAGAAATCACGTGTGACTCCGTTCAATTAATTCCATTCCAGCCATTACAATGACCCCATCCTCCTATAGCTCCGCCCACCAGCCTCCACTGGTTTGTATTTATATGTGTTTATACTCTTTTGGGGTATTTTATTAGGATCCCTATGTGTATATTGTTCTCAACAATATTCAGCTAATAATTGTTCTCCAGGATAAGGGTTAGACCCACCTGGGCCATTTGTTGATAAGCACTTTGGAACCTGTACCTTGTTTAAACAGCATTAAACTGGTAAGATTAGAACACGCTGGGACCTGTACCTTGTTTAAACAGCATTATACTGGTAAGATTAGAACACGCTGGGACCTGTACCTTGTTTAAACAGCATTATACTGGTAAGATTAGAACACGCTGGGACCTGTACCTTGTTTAAACAGCATTATACTGGTAAGATTAGATCACTTTTGGACCTGTACCTTCTGTAAACAGCATTATACTGGTAAGATTAGATCACTTTTGGACCTGTACCTTGTTTAAACAGCATTATACTGGTAAGATTAGATCTGATTGTTCTAGTCTTTTTGATTTTCTCTATGATTAGATCAGGAGGGTGGTGAAGCCCTTTCCTGCAGTCAAATCACCTATGTTATTCATATTTTTCATAATTTCATAATGAATAAACATTTCTTTTTTTTTTACACAGAAAATCCGGTTGTTTCGTATATGTCAAACAGTTTTGTTATATTTCAGTCTTCTATGATGAATATAAAGTGTAATATTGGGATACATTTCAACTCTATATCTGACATGGTACAGGTGTCTTCTTTTTTTAAGCCCATAACCATGTGTGTGAGGTGTATACTTTTGTTTCAAAGTAGATTTGTTTAAGACTACCAAGAAACACTCTGTGACCCTGACTTAGCCCACTGCAGTAAAAGGTTAAGATATTAAAGGAGGTTCCCACCTGCTCTGAAGGGGTTTCCATACACAATCCCAGACAGGAACCTGCGTAGCCGTCCCATAGAGAATCGACCAATGAAACCACCCAGCTGCTCTCTGATCAGCTCCTTCTCAAATCCGCCCGACGACTCAGGGCTTACACAGATGTCTGATCAGGAGAAGGGGAACTATGTTAGTGTGTGTGTGTGTGAGAGAGAGAAAGAGAGAGAGAGAGAGAGAGTGAGAGAGAGAGACAGAGAGAGAGAGAGAGAGAGAGAGAGAGACAGAGACAGAGAGAGAGAGAGAGAGAGAGAGAGAGAGAGAGAGAGAGAGAGAGAGAGAGAGAGAGAGAGAGAGAGAGAGAGAGAGAGAGAGAGAGAGAGAGAGAGAGAGAGAGAGAGAGAGAGCAAAATGGTGGTCAAGTCTAATTGTGTCTGTGTGTGTGTGGTAGATGTCTCACCAAGTCGTCCATCCAATCGAACAAACAGTTCAAAGATGCTAAATGCGATGGTGGTGTGAGCTGGGATCACTATGGCCTTGTCTCGACCTTTGGGGTTTCGACCATCATCAATCTGAAACTGTAGAACACCAGTCAGATAGGTGAGACAGGGCATTCATCCATTCAACCATTACCTGCTAATACACAAGTGTCAGATGTCAGTGTTTCTGTGTGTACGGTACAGTGTGTGTGTGTGGTGTGTAGGTGTGTGTACTGTGTGTGTGTAGGTGTGTGTTTACCCTCATAGTCGTCCGTCTCATGCCTGCGTGGACAGTGAGAGAACACTGACGCGTCGTGCGGATGCTCTCCATGACAACGCAGAGAACGCTCCGCCCACTTTCTTTGGACTGACGAATCAAACAGTGATCCAGATCCACTTTCCTACAGTGGAAAGAAAGCAGTACACAAACCTGTGTCTGAAAGACTTCTCACTTTTACTGTCCATGTGTAATGTACAGTATGTACAACCAACATGGTCTCGTTAGAATATCGAGAGCTTGGGACTGTTAAGGTTCTATCTGCAAAAAGAGGATTCTGAGATAATTGGCTTTAAAGTTCCGAACCCTCATTGGTTTGAATGGTGTCAGCAGTTTTTATATTGTATTCTTTTGAATTTAACATGAATGTAGGTCTTTAGACTACTGTATAGGTAGAGCACATTGAACAAAACAAGGCTAGGTCAATAACTACATGTTGACAAAAACCAAGCTCTCGATATGTTAAAATAGTGACATTTAATCATTGTAGTTATATGTCAACTAACCTGACATACAGTGGGGGGAAAAAAGTATTTAGTCAGCCACCAATTGTGCAAGTTCTCCCACTTAAAAAGATGAGAGAGGCCTGTAATTTTCATCATAGGTACACGTCAACTATGACAGACAAATTGAGGAAAAAAAATCCAGAAAATCACATTGTAGGATTTTTAATGAATTTATTTGCAAATTATGGTGGAAAATAAGTATTTGGTCACCTACAAACAAGCAAGATTTCTGGCTCTCACAGACCTGTAACTTCTTCTTTAAGAGGCTCCTCTGTCCTCCACTCGTTACCTGTATTAATGGCACCTGTTTGAACTTGTTATCAGTATAAAAGACACCTGTCCACAACCTCAAACAGTCACACTCCAAACTCCACTATGGCCAAGACCAAAGAGCTGTCAAAGGACACCAGAAACAAAATGGTAGACCTGCACCAGGCTGGGAAGACTGAATCTGCAATAGGTAAGCAGCTTGGTTTGAAGAAATCAACTGTGGGAGCAATTATTAGGAAATGGAAGACATACAAGACCACTGATAATCTCCCTCGATCTGGGGCTCCACGCAAGATCTCACCCCGTGGGGTCAAAATGATCACAAGAACGGTGAGCAAAAATCCCAGAACCACACGGGGGGACCTAGTGAATGACCTGCAGAGAGCTGGGACCAAAGTAACAAAGCCTACCATCAGTAACACACTACGCCGCCAGGGACTCAAATCCTGCAGTGCAAGATGTGTCCCCCTGCTTAAGCCAGTACATGTCCAGGCCCGTCTGAAGTTTGCTAGAGTGCATTTGGATGATCCAGAAGAGGATTGGGAGAATGTCATATGGTCAGATGAAACCAAAATATAACTTTTTGGTAAAAACTCAACTCGTCGTGTTTGGAGGACAAAGAATGCTGAGTTGCATCCAAAGAACACCATACCTACTGTGAAGCATGGGGGTGGAAACATCATGCTTTGGGGCTGTTTTTCTGCAAAGTGACCAGGACGACTGATCCGTGTAAAGGAAAGAATGAATGGGCCCATGTATCGTGAGATTTTGAGTGAAAACCTCCTTCCATCAGCAAGGGCATTGAAGATGAAACGTGGCTGGGTCTTTCAGCATGACAATGATCCCAAACACACCGCCCGGGCAACGAAGGAGTGGCTTCGTAAGAAGCATTTCAAGGTCCTGGAGTGGCCTAGCCAGTCTCCAGATCTCAACCCCATAGAAAATCTTTGGAGGGAGTTGAAAGTCCGTGTTGCCCAGCGACAGCCCCAAAACATCACTGCTCTAGAGGAGATCTGCATGGAGGAATGGGCCAAAATACCAGCAACAGTGTGTGAAAACCTTGTGAAGACTTACAGAAAACGTTTGACCTGTGTCATTGCCAACAAAGGGTATATAACAAAGTATTGAGAAACTTTTGTTATTGACCAAATACTTATTTTCCACCATAATTTGCAAATAAATTCATAAAAAATCCTACAATGTGATTTTCTGGAGAAAAAAAATCTCATTTTGTCTGTCATAGTTGACGTGTACCTATGATGAAAATTACAGGCCTCTCTCATCTTTTTAAGTGGGATAACTTGCACAATTGGTGGCTGACCAAATACTTTTTTCCCCCACTGTACTAGTTGTTTGTCATCACCATATGACCCTTGGTAATATCTTATCAGAAACAAAACCAGAATGCAATTAATTAAAATCTAAGCTATTTTCCACCACCTGCAGTGTACCTGGAGTTGAGTTCCCTGAGTAGAGTTGGGACCTCCACCTCGTGTTTGGTGACGATCCCAAAGGAGGCTTTGACAGCCACAGAGTCTGAACCACTGATGTTGAACCCCACGTCGTTCATCAGGTGGTTCCCTAACCTGCCGTTCAGGGCCACGTCAGACTTGTCCTCATAGTTCAGGAGCTGGTACGACGACACCCCTGTTTGAATGGAATAAAATGTATTGTTAAAGACATCTGATATTGTATGAGACTAGCTTTACATCTGCAGAAACACATGCTTTACTTTGTCAAAGAGAGAGACAGTTATAATGCATTATAAGCCCATTATAATGCCTTATGAGCCATTCATAATGCACTATAATGCATGACATGGGCGTTAATAGCTGCTGATAAACATGCATCCCTCCTCTCAGTGGACTGTACCAGCAGTGATCTCCTTCTCCCCCACCAGGATGTCTTTCAGGGAGAAGGGGGTTGAGGCGTACTTGGTTTTCTTCCAGAAGTGTCTTTTCCTCTTCCTGGTGACCAGGCTGAGGGGTTGGTAGCGGTCAGCCTCACTCAGGCTCGGTACGGGGATCAGCCGACCTGTGTCTCCCACCTGCTTCACAAAGTTCTTAGTCGCCGCAGCGAACATACCGGTGACCAAGAAAGAGCACACGGGTGCAGCAGTCACTGCTGGACATGCATGGCAGCAACAGGTGTGCTGTAAGAGTCCACTGTCCAGGCAGGTGTCAATCCTTTAGTTTACAGTATTAAAGATGTTTCTTCTTCTCTTTTCTTCTCTTTGGTGAGTTCACATTGGGAAGTTCTGCACAGGTGGACAGTAGTTCTGAACAGATGTCTTCCAAACAGCTAAAGTCGTTCAGCTGTGAACCTTATGGCTCAGGGCTAATGAATAATGGAGACACCATGTAAGGGGATATGGGGACAAGCTGTCCCATAACGTGATTGGACAGGTATTTGCCTTCATTCTTCCTGTCATGTGACCAGTGAGCTCACCAATGGGTTATGCAGTACTTCCTGGGCTACTCTGTCTTTGAGGTCCTAGATGTCTATCAATAACGCTGCCCTACGCTCTGAAAAGAGATATCAGTGTAAGTGAGGTATCAATAGTTTAATTGTAGCTGGTTAGGGAATCTGATCACTTTTAATTGGATCAGGGTTACACACCTTAAAGGAAAACTCCACCCAAAAGCTATCTATTGGTATAGTCCCAAATGTTGTTGATATAGTCCCAAAATGGATTGCATGTTAGCAATCAAGTTTTCAAGATATTTAACTTTCATAATACAGAAATACAGCTGGTATGATACATTTTGCATCATATGATGCTGCGTTTTGCATCATATGATGCAAAATGCATCATACCGGCTTTATTTCTGTATTATGAAAGTTATATATCTTGAAAGCTTGATTGCTGACATGCAACACATTTTGGGACTATATCAACAATGGTCTAATTAAACAAATACCAAAAGATGGTTTTTGGGTGAAATTGTCCTTTAATGTGTGTTGTACTCTACCTGTACCCACCCAGACCTTTGTATGCCATAGCATTCAGCTCACCACAAAAACAACAATCAGCATGCAGTCTCTGGGATTTGACTCAACATGACCCTTTCCTTTCTTAGTAGCATGTGAAACATCTGGACCCTGTGTTGTCAACTATCATGACAAATAACAAAAAGAGTGGTGGTCTTTGTGGTGTCTATGTTCAAATGTACTTTTCTTGTGCTTGTGGTTGTGTCTGGTACCAATAATAGACTAGTCTACATGTTAGAGGGAGTTTAATACTTCTAGACCAAGGCTTTCCCCACCCAAAGATCATACAGGATATGTTATATTATGACCTTGCGTTGCCTCCCTTGTAATTTAGCTGTTTGGCTAGGAAATTAAACGTAATGTCGTTTATTTATAAGATACTTTTAAAAAAGTGGGAAATGGGTGTGGTTTCCACAGTGTAAACTATGTCTGTATTCACACGGGTCCATTAACACTCATAATGATTACCCAGGTAGGTTATTATAGGGATAAGACTAGCAGGACAAAAATACATATTACTGTGCAAATGGCCATATGGGAACATGGCATGAATACACTTCTATGAAGGCCTTCACAATTTCAAGTTAATGCAGAGAAACGACTGGGGAGCCTTTTTTGTGAAGCTGGTGAGCGTTAATCAGTAACTGATTATATTTTTAAAGTAATCTGCCCAATGCTGGCTGTCTGAGACTGAGAGCACAGGCAAAAAGGAAGAAAATTAGAGGTTAGACAACCCTTAAAAAAAGAGAGTGAGAGAGAGGCGAGAGGGAGAGAGAGAGAAGTAGAGAGAGAGAGGGAGAGAGAGAGTAGAGAGAGAGAGAGAGAGAGAGAGAGGTGAGAAAGAGAGAGAGAAGTAGAGAGAGAGAAGTAGAGAGAGAGAGAGAGAGAAGTAGAGTGAGAGAGAGAGAAGAGAGAGAGAGAAAGTTTCTCAAAAGGCAGTTGTCTTCTCCTCTCAAGGCTACTTGGATATTACTGGATGGTACTGTGTACTGCAACGCTAGCCTAGCTCCCTCGTCCTCCTCTCCTCTCGTCCTCCTGTCTGCCCTGTATGTGTGTTCGGAAGGTGCCTGTCTCAGGTGCAGACATGGCCACCTCTGTGCACTCCAGGATTATTCTATGTCTGGCTATATCTTTGGTTCCGGTATTGGCAGTGGCCAGCCAGGATGTCAAGCTAGGTGAGTGGACGGGGCTGCACTACATGACTTATGGTCTGACTGACTGAAGATTGTGTTGATTGCTCTGGCTTGAACTGGTGATATGAATTGCTTATGTGTTTAACTTTTTGTTCTACATTTTTTTTATTGATTGATAGAATGTATTAAATAATTAGAAGTAGTAGGCTGCTCGAGCCGCAGACAACATTACAGACATAAACATTATCGAAGATAAAAACACAATAAAGCCTGAAGGCTTTTTTACATTGAGTACCACAGTATGAGTCATAAAACCCGTAAATGGTTCCAATCATTTTATCACCATTCATTTTTCCATCTGGGATTTTAGAACTGCTTCATATAAGGTCTGTGTTTCATGTAGGCTTACCCTGGCGTGACGTTTTGATAGCCGCGCAAATCTCTCTTGGACAAGGTGACTTTTATCAATAATTATCATTGTGAATTTTGTTGAGTAAATTCAGGCGAATATTTTGATAAAACTCACCTTGTCCGGGAGAGAATTACATGGCTATCAAAACGTCACGCCAAGGTAAGCCGACACCAAACACACAATTAATTTGCATTTTTTGTAGAATTCACGATGTGAAAAATGAATGGCGGAAAAACCATTGGAACCATATCCGTGTTTTTATGGGTATTATATGATGCGTCCACTGTGGAGGACTATTGTGGTCCAGGTAGATGGCCGGTAGATGGCAGGTAGATGGCAGGTAGATGGCAGGTAGATGGCAGGTAGATGGCAGGTAGATGGCAGGTAGATGGCAGGTAGATGGCAGGTAGATGGCAGGTGGGAAAGATTGACACATCACACCCAATGCAATTTAAAAACAACAACAGTATAATCATTTACTACTATATCAACCTTATCAACAGCACAGAGGTGCCTGTTTAGGAGTCGCCTCGTCAAAGAATACCCCTAATCACACTGACAGATATTTTTTAAAGCTATTAAAGCTATTCATCTTAAAGCTATTCTCTGAAGACAGAGTTTTCAGGTAGCTTGGTAACCTGTTCCACAGAACTGCAACAGAGTACAGGAATTACTTTTTTCCCATGGAGCTCTTGAGTCTACACGGAACAAAGTTAGTGAAGGTCCCTCTGGGAACAAAGGATTCCCTCTGGGAACAAAGGACTAGGGTTGAAAAGCCACCGGTAATATACCAAATTTACCGGAATCTTTTGTTTTGATTTGTTTAACACTTTTTTGGTTACTACATGATTCCATATGTGTTATTTCATAGTTTTGATGTCTTCACTATTATTCTACAATGTAGAAAATAGTACAAATAAAGACAAACCCTTGAATGAGTAGGTGTGTCCAAACTTTTGACTGGTACTGTATACTGTATATATTTCACATGTGATAAGTCCACACAGAGGGCCAGAGAGTCTGAAGTACCCAACAAGGCCACTAGATGTCATCTGATAAAATTCCATATATTCCTTGAAAGTTACCAAAATTCTGGTAGTTTACTGGTAAAGTACTCGAAAGTTTCGAGTAATATACCCTACCTTTGCAACCCTTCTCAGGATAGATCAAGCATGACAATGAGATGATGCAACACTTTTATGCTTTTTATACTTTTATGGAGCCTTTTTGAACATCTATAGGTGTTGTATATACAATATTCATACTTTTTTGTTTTAAGTTTGTGTTTAGTTTACAGGCCTCAATATCACAATTATTTTCTCACAGTGAAACGTAAAGTACTAAAATGGGTAATTTCTTTACAGCAGGAAGTGGTATGTTTTATAAGCACCATCATACCTCTCACCCCACAGCATGTTTAGTCCAGTTTACAGGCGTCTCTAGACCACGTTGGCCTTGCCCTCAACATCACTCCCCAAAACTGAGCTAAACCAAATAAACACTTTTAATGGGTGCTATTTTCTCATTGCTCATATTGTAGCTTTTTACAAGTAAGTAAATAAAGTGTTCAAATAACACTAATGGGATCTCTCAGAAATGCTGTCTGGATACAAACATCAATACATGGATAGAATACATATTTTTATTTTGTTTTTACCAGGCATGTCAGTTAGGAACACATTCTTATTTACAATAAGCCCTGGCAACAATTTTTGCATACAACGAAAATACATCCCTCTTAGACAGACTACGTGCTAAAGTGGTGTTGTTTGTATGACTGGCTGGCTGGCTGGCTGGCTGGCTGGCTGGAAGGGCTATTTCAGTGCAAGGCTGAGGCAGAATGAAGGGTTGTAGAGTGCCATGGTCATAATGATGTTGGGATGGACCAAAACAGGCCACTGATTTTGGTCAGTGGTTTGGCCAGAGAGCGACCGGACACGCCCAGTGAAATGATGCATGCTGGGTATGAATATGCTTCATACTGTCGGCATCCACAAAGCCCATATCACTTTAGAAGTATACTGTCTTCGAACAGGGAAGAATGTAAGTTACTGATATGGTGAACAAAACATATTCTTGAGTCTGGTTTCTCCCAAGGATTATTTTCCTTGCCACTTTTGTATGTGCTTGTGTAGCGTGGGTCAATCAAGTGATAAGTAGGCCTAACCTTGCCTGCCACCTGGGCCCAGTTTTTCTAAAGTTATCTGTCCGGATGTCGTCTATCGATAAGATGAAATGCATAGAAACAGAATGAATAGAACGGGAGTCCCCATTCAAGTCAATGATTCGTCCATTCTTTCATTCTATATCTAGGTATTTAATCCTATCCGATAGGTGAAATCCAGATAGATAACCTTTGAAAAACTGGGCCGCTGATGACTTGTGTTAGCTCCCCAAGCTGATGCCTAGGCTTTAGCTCAGTGGGTTGAAGCAGACTTGTTGCAGGCAGGTAACCTGAGTTCAAACCCAGTAGGTCACACTTGCTGCTCGGGGGTTTAGGCCCATGTTGCTGTAGAAAACGTCTTATTGTAAAAAGTCTCATAATAATGGCCGGAAATAATGGAATGGTGTCAAACCCCTGGAAACCATGTGTTTGATGTATTTGATACCGTTCCACTGATTCCGCTCCAGTCGTTACCACAAACCCATTCTCCCCAATTAAGGTGCCACCAGCCTCCTGTGGTGTATTGTTTGAGCAGATTAACGCTACACTGAAAAAGACAAGAAAACCATACTTTCTAAAATATTCCCCAATGTTATTTGGCTGTAAAACAGTATACTATTGGACAATGTTTTATAATGCTTGATAATATAACACCACGATCACTTTCACCTGACTTCACAGCTGAGCAGTAAAGTGTCATATAGGTCAGTGTGATGTACGGAAAATTATGGCAGGCGGCCATATTGGATAATTAACTCAAGTGGAACGGTGTTATGGTCCATGTGCAAACCACAAATGGATTCAATTTACAGTCACCACAGGCCTCACTTTTATAGTGATCAAAACGCTGAACATAATGGATTTAATAATAACACCCTGGTTGGTGAAGTAAATATACAAATGATTGATTAATGTACACTATTCACTTGGGTACAGCTGACTTAACTTAATAACGTTATAACATTTTGGAAATGGAAGTTGGTCCATATGATGAAGCGTTTTGATTCCATGGCTGTGGAGTTAGCTGGGTGGGGCCTCTCATGGCTGGGTTAGAAATACAGACCAGCCACAGACACATGCTAAGCTTAACCTATAATATAGGCCGCTGTGGTTTTCCCTGAAATAACTCCTGCTTTTGAAAAGTAGCTTCTCTCTTGGGGAGAGGCTCGCCCACATAATGAGTACTTAGAAGTTAAGTCTATCATATAAAACTGGCTAAGTTTATAAAAAGTGAAATGCCGCGATGATATTACATATAGTACTGCAGCAGGTGGTCAGGGTTTCCCCTAGTTTCACTCTCTTTAGTTCCAACAGAGGCCCCACCAACCCGCCTAGATAATGGCATGGAAAATGCTTGGGTTGTTTCTTGCTTCCTGGCAACATCTGTATTGGAGTGATGTTTCCCTGATTCACAGATTAATTGTGAAAAGAGCTTCTGTTCCGTGTCATCGACTGTGCTGTGGAACATCTTCTTATTATCTCCAGTGAACTTTAGTCTTCGGGATCTCATTGAAGTGGGATGGGGAAATGTAGATGCCTATTTATAAAAATAACATCAAGCCCAGAACCTGAAAGGACAGTCTGATTTCTTAGTCTATATTACTGGGTTTGACTTACATGACGTCAGTGTCTTGCTCAGTACTTATGTCGACTATATTTAGATGTAGGCCTAGAATTTACAACTTTGAATGATAAGTGTGGAGATGTGAAACAAGTAACATAATGATTTATAAAGGCAAGCTTCCTATTTTGTCATAGAAATTTGCGAAATTGCTCTTATGATGAGCAATCACCCTACACAACTACATCCTTGGTATATGAGCTTCTTCCAAGATTCATAATTACACATTGGAGGAAAAACATTTAACTTCACAATTTGACAATGAGGAGCTTCACTGAAAATAATAGTTATGTGGAGCTGATGCACCAAGCTACATAAAGAGTAGGTCATCACATTCTATCCTGGGGACAATCTAAGATGGTCCTTCTCTCTCTAACCGTGTTAATGTGTTACATTCTTCATAAAAACCCTAAACTGAACGTTTCACACAATGCCGAGTTTGTGGCAAGTGAGCTGTACTTGATTTAACAGGGGAAAACAAAGAATTTCAGACGTGTACTTAAACACAATGACACCAACACCACATTGTCCACATTATAGTAAATGTGAGATTGTCCCACTCTGGGACGGTGTTCTCTCTCTTCTGTCTGCCACCTAGTGGACATAGAATAAACACACAAAACGTACAATACTAATCATTTAGTCACATGGACACTCATCAGGTCACATGGTCATTAAAAACTCTCTTCCCTAATCAGGCCTGCTAAACAACCCCTTGATTCTATTGGCCAGAAATGGTCATTCATGCTTTTTGTCATCTCTGAAAGTCCCAGAAACACAGCGGTGTTGTTTCCTGGTGTTATTGTGGAGGGTTACTCTACGTCTTACTCCATAAGGACATAACATGTAAAGATACACGTCTGAATGCAAATGGTGTTTACTTGCTCTGGCAGGGCACGAAGACAGCTGTGCAGAAAACGGCAAAGTCTACAGCAACAATGAGATTTGGAACCCGGAGCCATGTAAGATCTGTGTGTGTGACCTGGGCACTATTACCTGTGAGGATGTCCGATGTGAAGACCTATCCTGTAAGGAAACCACCACCCCTGAGGGAGAATGTTGCCCTGTGTGTTCTGAGGCTGCAGGTACCCAGGGCCAGCAGGCTGCTACCTGGGATAATCTGCTACCAAAGATCAAAACAGGTGAACTCATTCTCACCACATTACATTGATCCATGTTTTACAGATTCAAGCGTCAGCTAAGATAATTATTACTCATGGTCATGGAATGGAATGGTGTTCGATTAATGGTGTTGTTACATTCTAATTACAGTCTCACTACATTCTCTCAGTATTTCTAATAGGACCTATGTCTGATTCATATTCTCTTCTTCAATCTCCATGACTCTGTAGAGGAGAAGAAGGATGAGACCTGCAGGGACAACGGGCAGGTGTACGCCCACAACGACATGTGGACCCCAGAGCCGTGCAGGGTGTGTGTGTGTGACAGTGGAACCACCCTCTGTGAGGAGGTGCAGTGTGAGACGGTGGGGAACTGTGAGAAGGTTACCATCCCTGAGGGAGAGTGCTGCCCCGTGTGTGACAGCTTCTCCAGCGCTAACAGAAGGATAGGTGAGATAAATGATATACTAATATATATACAGTACCGGTCAAAAGTTTGGACACACCTACTCATTCAAGGGTTTTTCTTTATTTTTACTATTTTCTACATTGTAGAATAATAGTGAAGACATCAAAACTATGAAATAACACATATGGAATCATGTAGTAACCAAAAAAGTGTTAAACAAATCAAAATATATTTCATATTTGAGATTCTTCAAATAGCCACCCTTTGCTTTGATGACAGCTTTGCACACTGTTGGCATTCTCTCAACCAACTTCATGAGGTAGTCACCTGGAATGGATTTCAATTAACAGGTGTGCCTTCTTAAAAGTTAATTTGTGGAATGTCTTTCCTTCTTAATGCGTTTGAGCCAATCAGACATGAAGGTCATCAAGGCAAAGGGTGGCTATTTGAAGAATCTCAAATCTCAAATATATTTTGATTTGTTTAACACCTTTTTGGTTACTACATGATTCATATGTGTTATTTCATAGTTTTGTTGTCTTCACTATTATTCTACAATGTAGAAAATAGTACAAATAAAGAAAAACCCTTAAATGAGTAGGTGTGTCCACACTTTTGACCGGTACTGTATATATATGCACATATACATGCTTAAACATATATATGAATGATATGTCTAAAGGGCCAGGCTCACATGTCTACATCATTAGCTCAGACTGACTGTGACTGCAAGGTGTTGCCTGGGAATCCAAACTGAAGTGTGAAACGTAGCGATTAAGTTTGGATTCCCATTTGCCAGGCTACTGGAGGTGTCTCACTGACTGATGATAAGAGGGGAAAACATACTGAATTTCATAGCGTTTCAACATATAACACAGTCTCAAGTCATTAAAGATCACACGTCACTTTAAGGATAAAAGATCTACACTAAAATATGATTTCTTCCTTTTCCTTCCTCAAAGAAATGATGGCGTTCCAGGTGAGTAATGATGAAAGATATTCACAATTTTCTGTTTTCCACTTTGATTTTTACTTGGACACACTCCTGATTATTAGCTTGAGTGCTAGTCTGTTTGTGTTGTCATGCCAACTTCTTGTCACTCATTGTCATATTTGGCTTGACAGTGACCAATGGGGTTGGCAAGAGCACAAACAGATCTGGGACCAGGCTACCTGAATAGCTGAGCTGATTGTCACATTGTTATTGATGCATTTGATTTCCAGGGTCAGAAAGGTGAACCTGGTGACATCCCTGACGTAAGTCTGTTTTCATACATCTCAGAGACAGAAACAGTGCATTTGTTAATCAAGAATTCATGTGACTTTTGATGCCTATTATGACAACTCTTATCCAAAACGTCATACTGTCACTTTTATATCTGAACAACTGTTTTTGTTTGTTTTTTGTTTCCAGGTCGTGGGGCCAGTAGGTCAACCTGGACCAATGGTGAGCACTCTGTAGCCATTTATTTTGTAAAAAAAAAAAACCTCTTCATAAATTAACATATTTGATATTATTATGTTATAAGTTTCTCAAACTGTATACCATTGGAGGCTGGTGGGAGGAGCTATAGGAGGACGGGCTCATTGTAATGGCTGGAATGGAATTCATGGAATGGTACCAAACACATCAAACACATGGAAACAACGTGTTTGACTCCGTTCCATAAATTCCAGCCATTACAATGAGCCCATCCTCCTATAGCTCCTCCCACCAGCCTCCTATTGTATACACACTAGATGGTGCTATAGAGCTTCAGTAACCAAGGAGAATGACCTGATGCTACTACTTCGGTCTTTCCACAGCCACAGTGGTAAGACACCAACTACTAGTGTAACTTATCATGTGAAGTCATCATGTTTTCTTGTTATCTGTGTCAATGTTTCAGGGTCCTCCCGGAGCTCAGGGGAACAGAGGATACACTGGATTCAAGGGCAGAAAAGTATGTCTAACACAATGACATTTACATCTAGAGAAGCGTGTTACAGTACTGCGATTTAATGTGATTTTTCCCTAGCCTAAGACTAACACACTACACTGAGCTAACTCACTGCTCTTCAATACATTTATATGTCGAATCTGGTAGACATGTTAGATCATCTCTGTAGTAGTGACGTTGTATACTGTCATTCATGAGTTTGCACGTGTTTCCTAATATCCAGGGTTTACAGGGCCCAGCTGGCATCGACGGGGAACCAGGAGTCCCAGGGAACCCTGGTGAGCCAGGATCCCCCGGCCAGCCCTCACACCCTGGGGTGAGTCTGTCTGTCTGTCCTCCCAGCCCGACACTTCACTGATGCGGTCTTTAACCTTCATTTCTGGTCAAAAGTGCTTTCCCTCCCTACACGTGTTAGTAAACTCACTGGGTGGGTGTGTTGTGGCAAAAATACAGCCATTTGTATTTTGCATTGCTTTTTGGCCAAATGTGCTTGCTGTACCTGAAATCATTTTCACCCCAAAACGTAAAGTAAGTACGTGGGGGCTTGTAGGGATACTCAGAGCACATAAAGAGACGTGGGGGCTTGTAGGGATATCTCAGAGCACATAAAGAGACGTGGGGGCTTGTAGGGATATCTCAGAGCACATAAAGAGACGTGGGGGCTTGTAGGGATATCTCAGAGCACATAAAGAGACGTGGGGGCTTGTAGGGATAGCTCAGAGCACATAAAGAGATGTGGGGGATTGTAGGGATATCTCAGAGCACATAAAGAGACGTGGGGGCTTGTAGGGATATCTCAGAGCACATAAAGAGACGTGGGGGCTTGTAGGGATATCTCAGAGCACATAAAGAGATGTGGGGGATTGTAGGGATAGCTCAGAGCTTCCAACCCTTTTCTAGCCCTCTTCTCATTGCACTTGTCCAGTTGAGGTGACCTTGCACCTGCTCTCTTCATATGGAGGCGGCTGCCTGTCTGTGGTCACCAGTGAAGAACTTCCACACCGTGATAAGGAATGAAGAATGACTGTCCTCCTCTCTCCCCCAGGGCCAGCTGGTCTCTCAGATGGCTGCAGGCTTCGGTGAGAAATCAGCTGGGATGATGGGGTTGATATCTGGCAACAGGGTGAGTTACTATTAAATCAGCTGGGATGATGGGGTTGATATCTGGCAACAGGGTGAGTTACTATTAAATCAGCTGGGATGATGGGGGTGATATCTGGCAACAGGGTGAGTTACTATTAAATCAGCTGTCCTATACTAAAAAGCCCCTGACAACCTCAATGACGGGTAGTCCTTGCTAAGTGTGTGAGTCCATGGGCAGTAGATTGTAAACAAGGAAAACATACGGTAGCATATACACCACAGGGGGCTGGTGGCACCTGAATTGGGGAGGACAGGCTCGTGTTGATGGCTGGAGCAGAATTAGTGCAATGGTATCAAATACATCAAACACATGGTTTCCATGTGTTTGATGCCATTCCATTTGCTCCATTCCAGCCATTATTATGAGCAGTCCTCCCCTCAGCAGCATCCTGTCTTATACATTGTCTTTGGCGGGTTTGATTGAATGACAGTTAATTTACGTTTGTGCCTACATTACTATTTACTCATTACTCATTACTCATTACTCTGTCTCTGTATGTTGTCTCCATGTATATTTTAGGGTGAGGCAGGACCAAGAGGGCCTCCTGGACAGCCTGGTCAACCAGTAAGTCAAAGATAGCCGACTATATCTACCTTTCAGACATCAATTCTTACTGGAGATCATTTCTGTAACTCAACAGACAGATATGTGATGCTTTCCTTTCCCCCCCTGTCTCGTAGGGCCCTACAGGGGGACAGGGTGCCCCAGGAGACGTTGGAGACCCAGGATCCATGGTAAGAACCAAGCACAATCTCTGCATCAGACATCTCTCTGATGTTATTTTGACTGGGTTTGAATCCTGGTAGCCTACATGCTTGAAGACTGTTAGTCCATTGAGCTAAAGCAAAAAGATTAAAATAAATGTATGTTTTAGTCAAATATTATATCTGTTTGAGCTTCTTGAGGTCTTGCAGTCTGTTCCGCCCCCCTACCATCCATTCAAGAAAAAATCGTCCCGCGACTGAATCGGCTGAATCTAATCTTTCTGTCCTAGGCATTAGCTCAGGGAGCTAACGCAAGTCTTCAGTTCTCAGGCAAAGTTATCATCATCACACCAGCTTGGATCACTGAACTACCTCCGATACACTCTCACACACCGTATCGAGGTGTTACACCAAGATCTACCAATCACACACCGTGTCGAGGTGTTACACCAAGATCTACCAATCACACACCGTGTCGAGGTGTTACACCAAGATCTACCAATCACACACCGTATCGAGGTGTTACACCAAGATCTACCAATCACACACCGTATCGAGGTGTTACACCAAGATCTACCAATCACACACCGTATTGAGGTGTTACACCAAGATCTACCAATCACACACCGTATCGAGGTGTTACACCAAGATCTACCAATCACACACCGTATCGAGGTGTTACACTAAGATCTACAAGAGCCTTTGCTCAAAATGTTTTATTGACTGTGTGTGATTTGACATGTTGTTTTTACACAGGGCGGCTTTGGTTACAGAGGACCTGAGGGCCCACCAGGAAAACCAGGACCAGATGTAAGTACTCTACACTCGACCAGACATAGGCCGTGTCCCAAATGGTACCCTATTCCCTATATAGTGCAATACTATAAACCAGGACCCACAGGGCCAGAGGCGGGGAACAACCCGCATTAGACATGACGTCTTCTGAGTATGAATGAGCCTAGTATGTTGATATTGGTAGGCTTTCTGCATATGTTCTAAACAGTATGTAGTATGATTAGTACACAGTATGTAGTTTTAGTAAGTAGTACACAAGACAGATTTCAGACACGGCCATAGACTATGGTTGCCACTTGCCACTGATCAAAACAGATACAAATGTTATGTAAGTGTAGTGTCTTGTTGCTAATGTAGATTACAGCATTGCTGGTAGTTCTGCATATTTTATTCAATAGGCGCCGGTTGAAAAACGTGCTAGTGTACGCTACACTAACACCGATACCTTGGTGTGTCTAACGTGCTAGTGAAGGCTACACTAACACCAATACCTTGGTGTGTCTAACGTGCTAGTGAAGGCTACACTAACACCGATACCTTGGTGTGTCTAACGTGCTAGTGAAGGCTACACTAACACCGATAACTTGGTGTGTCTAACGTGCTAGTGAAGGCTACAATAACACTGATACCTTGGTGTGTCTAACGTGCTAGTGAAGGCTACACTAACACCGATACCTTGGTGTGTCTAACGTGCTAGTGAAGGCTACACTAACACCGATAACTTGGTGTGTCTAACTCTGCCCTAACATGCCATGTTGTGTGTCATTAGCTTGTTTTTTTCTAACCTTTATCAGAGATGGTAGAATGCCACGTGTCAATCAACCATCTAGACTCTTAGACAACACTAAACTGCCTAACCTGGAAGCGAAAGAAATCCACACCTGTTGAGACGAGGTGCTGGCTAGCGGAGTAGAACACTTGGAAAAGAAAAGGAGAGCCGTACACACTAGGAGCTCAGATGCAATCATTTTATAACCAACGTTTCGACAGACAAACTTTCTTCATCAGGGTATAATGACAAACACTGCGGGTCACTAGTTTATATAGTTTCAAAGGACACACACAGGGGTCTGCAATCATGGCCGAGTGTGGCTTGATATCATTGGTTAATTTACAATATTTATAGAACATATAAAAAACATGAATGGATAGCATACGATCATACAGTGGGGAAAAAAAGTATTTAGTCAGCCACCAATTGTGCAAGTTCTCACACTTAAAAAAATGAGAGAGGCCTGTGATTTTCATCATAGGTACACGTCAACTATGACAGACAAAATGAGAAAAAAAATCCAGAAAATCACATTGTAGGATTTTTAATGAATTTATTTGCAAATTATGATGGAAAATAAGTATTTGGTCAATAACAAAAGTTTCTCAATACTTTGTTATATACCCTTTGTTGGCAATGACACAGGTCAAACGTTTTCTGTAAGTCTTCACAAGGTTTTCACACACTGTTGCTGGTATTTTGGCCCATTCCTCCATGCAGATCTCCTCTAGAGCAGTGATGTTTTGGGGCTGTCGCTGGGCAACACGGACTTTCAACTCCCTCCAAAGATTTTCTATGGGGTTGAGATCTGGAGACTGGCTAGGCCACTCCAGGACCTTGAAATGCTTCTTACGAAGCCACTCCTTCGTTGCCCGGGCAGTGTGTTTGGGATCATTGTCATGCTGAAAGACCCAGCCACGTTTCATCTTCAATGCCCTTGCTGATGGAAGGAGGTTTTCACTCAAAATCTCACGATACATGGGCCCATTCATTCTTTCCTTTACACGGATCAGTCGTCCTGGTCCCTTTGCAGAAAAACAGCCCCAAAGCATGATGTTTCCACCCCCATGCTTCACAGTAGGTATGGTGTTCTTTGGATGCAACTCAGCATTCTTTGTCCTCCAAACACGACGAGTTGAGTTTTTACCAAAAAGTTATATTTTGGTTTCATCTGACCATATGACATTCTCCCAATCCTCTTCTGGATCATCCAAATGCACTCTAGCAAACTTCAGACGGGCCTGGACATGTACTGGCTTAAGCAGGGGGACACATCTTGCACTGCAGGATTTGAGTCCCTGGCGGCGTAGTGTGTTACTGATGGTAGGCTTTGTTACTTTGGTCCCAGCTCTCTGCAGGTCATTCACTAGGTCCCCCCCGTGTGGTTCTGGGATTTTTGCTCACCGTTCTTGTGATCATTTTGACCCCACAGGGTGAGATCTTGCGTGGAGCCCCAGATCGAGGGAGATTGTCAGTGGTCTTGTATGTCTTCCATTTCCTAATAATTGCTCCCACAGTTGATTTCTTCAAACCAAGCTGCTTACCTATTGCAGATTCAGTCTTCCCAGCCTGGTGCAGGTCTACAATTTTGTTTCTGGGTGTCCTTTGACAGCTCTTTGGTCTTGGCCATAGTGGAGTTTGGAGTGTGACTGTTTGAGGTTGTGGACAGGTGTCTTTTATACTGATAACAAGTTCAAACAGGTGCCATTAATACAGGTAACGAGTGGAGGACAGAGGAGCCTCTTAAAGAAGAAGTTACAGGTCTGTGAGAGCCAGAAATCTTGCTTGTTTGTAGGTGACCAAATACTTATTTTCCACCATAATTTGCAAATAAATTCATTAAAAATCCTACAATGTGATTTTCTGGAGAAAAAAAATCTCAATTTGTCTGTCATAGTTGACGTGTACCTATGATGAAAATTACAGGCCTCTCTCATCTTTTTAACTGGTAGAACTTGCACAATTGGTGGCTGACTAAATACTTTTTTTCCCCACTGTAGATATAATTTGGCTACATAGGCCTACAAACATTTACAATTAATAGCTAAATCACAATAATTACAAGAATGGCTTCAGATCAAAGTCTACGTTGAGACCTAAGGGAGAAAGGGTCTTTAAATTAAACACTAAACTGCCTAACACACCTTTGTTCAGGATTATACAATGGGTGAGTCTAATCCTGGATGCTTATTGGTTAAAACCGCATTCCAGCCGTTGTCTATTCCGCAAGTTACCACCGGCTAAATCTATAACGTTGAAATGCCTATTTACTCTGTTCCATCTGACTGTGCAATCCACTGTCTCATTAGCCCAGCCAGATAATTTATATATTAGATCTACACTGTAAAAAGCATCTAGACATTATCTCCCATTTCTTTTAGACTAGCATTTGGTTTTCAACAGCGGAGATTTGTAATAACCTTGCTGTCTGTCTCTCTGATATTTGCAACATTGTTTCAATATTGAAATTCGATCTCTACCTGTCCTATGAACATGTCGGGAGTCCGGACGATACAGACAGGCTGGCTGCTTTTCTCAGCCAATTGAAATCATGAATCGGCATCAATGTTATGGATATAAACAAAGAAATGTCAATAGAAAAACAGGAAATGCAGCTAGTTTGCTGTCATTCCAGCTTCAGTTTGAAGTGATTAAAAAAGTGATGATGTCCACGAATCGTGCCAATATATCCTCCAAACACCGGCTTCTCGGGCCTGATCACTTAAGCGAACCCAACATGGAGAACATTATTTTGTTAAAACCTTTGTTCTACATCAACCTTTATTGCATTGAACATTTAGTCTGACACACCTATCCAGAATCAGTTTGAGTCCTATGTTGAAGTGCTGTTCATCTGTTGAAATGCTGTTTGTCTAACTCTGAGAGGGTGAAAACCACAACAATTTGTTAATTACCTGTACTGTAATAGCTTCCAGCAACTGAGAAGGTCATGTGATGTTTTCCCTTCACAGGGAGAATCTGGTCCAACCGGAATAGGCGGAGAGAAGGGAGCCGCTGGATCTGCCGTGAGTAACAAACTGTCATCCAAAGTTCACACAACATTTACATTTTACATTTACGTCATTTAGCAGACGCTCTTATCCAGAGCGACTTACCACAACCAATTAATACTGTTCTATGCATGAAATCTCTTTCTCTGTCACTGTAAATCAAATGAGTGTCGAATACAAAGGCATTCACAAAAACACAATTACACACTTCTTTCGTGATAGACATTTCATGATTTTGATTATATCACTTCAAACAATTTCCATGTGAATAGAGTGAGATATAAGACACTGTGGATAGATGCACTTTATTTTCCCATCCACTCCCATACAACTTTAGAAAGCAGGTACCATCGCCTTCAACCTAAACTGGAATGAAACCAATGAACAACAGTCCACAATTAGAATAGACTATTGTTTTAAGGGGCTACTGTATGTACTTATAAATGTGATAATAACACAGTGATTGAATGTGGTGTTTTCCAGGGTGCCAGAGGTTTCCCAGGACTGCCAGGTCACCCTGGACTGAAGGGCCTTAAGGTCAGCAGCAACACATGGATGATCACAATGCTCATATCTAACCTCCATCTTTTAATCTGTGACAAGTCTATATCAGATCATTAAAAGTGCGACAATGTACTGTAGTTTGAAGCATGGCTGCGTGTACATTATTAAAATAGTTTACTTCGCACTGTGCTGTTATGAACTCCTGTGAGATTCTTTAGAGCCAAAACAGACCTGATCAGAACTAATTAACTAATGTCTTATCAACAGGGTCATACAGGTCTTCTAGGAGCGAGAGGTCAATCTGGTGCTGCTGGGTCAAAGGTAAACTCATCATCATGTATATCTTTATATTCGTCCTGCTCCGCAAGATTAGTATCTAAAAATGATCTGTTTCCGTATTGCTGCGTATACCGTGACTCTCTTTCTCTCTCTCTGTCTGTCTGTGTGTGTGTGTGTGTGTTATTTTACAGGGCCCATCAGGTACTCCTGGTGGAATGGGGCCCCCTGGTCCTGCGGTAGGTCATAATCAATTAGTTCATCGATAATAAATGATTACATGATTGTAATACCTGTTACTAGTACACACTAATAACTCTAAATACGCTGATATGTTTCCAATCTGATAGTGAGGGAGTGTAATATTATGTGTATATTTTAGGGTCCAGCAGGAATGCAAGGGGAGAGAGGAAGGAGTGGCCCAACTGGACCTGTGGTAAGAGAGATATGACTACCTATGACCTCTGACCTATAACTCTACATTACACAACTCCATCTCTTCAATCCAATGATTGCCCACCTGAATTAAATTGATCTGAGGCATGAGGCATCATACACATAATGGGGCGGCGCACAATTGGCCCAGCGTCGTCCAGGGTAGGGGAGGGAATGGCCGGCAGGGATGTAGCTCAGTTGGTAGAGCATGGCGTTTGCAACGTCAGGGTTGTGGGTTCGATTCCCACGTGGGGCCAGTATGAAAAAATAAAAAAAATAATGTATGCACTCACTAACTGTAAGTCGCTCTGGATAAGAGCGTCTGCTAAATGAGGTAAAATGTAAAATGTAAAAAATTATATGTAGGTTCAAAGTCATAACAAAATGTTTTGTTTTAGCTTATCAGTGACACACGTTGTAACCTTTGTTTTTATTTTTTATTTATCCAGGCGAGTCAATTAAGAATAAATTCTTATTTACAATGACGGCCTGGTTTACAATGACAGCCTATGCTGCCACTGTCCTCCTATGCTTATGTGCATTGATGATGAGTTGATAGAGTTGAATTTGTCAAATCCTCTTTCAGTTGTGCATCTCTCTCCATACAGGGGAAACGTGGTGAATCTGGACATATTGGGAAAGCAGGACCAGAGGTAAGACCTCTAACATCCAACAAAACATCACCCTTCATATCAAATGATTATGATACACAAATCAGTATTACAAATGCAATAAAACAAATGAAAGCAACACTGTATCTACTCAAAATACACTATTTTCCTGAAAGACAGTCAAAAACGTGTCATACATTTACAAATCAGCAGTGATGTTAACTGGGCAAAAGTGATGTTGCCAGTAGTTACCAACACCAAGTGTGTGTCTGAAATGGCTCCCTAATTCCTATATAGTTTCTATATAGTGAAGGGAATAAGGTACCATTTTGGACACAGCCCCATGTGTGGTTGACATGTAGCCTACTGTATGTGATGTGATTCTAGGGTCCTATGGGGATCACTGGAGCTCCAGGATTCCCAGGTAGTCCAGGTATAAAGGCGAGTACTGTACATTCTTTACTATACTTTGATGGACTACAGTCCTCTTCTTCACACCAGCCATGTACTAAAGATTAGTGACTCAAACGTATAACCCAGTCCTTCCCCTCAGAATTAAGTTAATTTTGAAACTGACCCATTCGGATTACTCTATTTCGATAAAGATCTTTTTATAAGGGTGTTTTATTCAGTATGAGCTATGCATCTGTTCATCAACAGTGGATTAGAGTGCATGTAAACACACTCTGACTGTGACACTGTTGTCTCCAGGGGCAACCAGGGCCCCCAGGAGCACGAGGGACAGGGGGCCAGCAGGGACCAAGAGGGGAGGCCGGACGCGTGGGATTGGCTGGAGCTACGGGCATTCAGGTGTTTGGCTAATTCATGATGCTAATAATCTCTACACCTATGGTAACTGTACTGTCAACAACTCACCACTTCAGGGTGTAGATTGATTCACTGAAAATGTAGCTGAATCTGGTTTCTGATTGAAAGGTCCATTAAAAGTAAATTCCAATGTAATTTACATTTGAATGACATTATAAATGACACTGTAAATGTACAATATTTTATGCTTAATTAACTGACTTGTCTGGTTAAATAAAGTTTCAATAAATGACTTAAAAAACATATTTTGTTGATTTTTGTAGGGTCCAACAGGGACAGAGGGTGCTGTCGGAGCCAAAGGACCATCCGTATGTACAACTCCACCCACTTTCACGCTCTCCATCTCTCCTTGTTCATCTCTTTGTTCATCTCCTTGTTCAGCTACTCCCTTCTCCTCCCCTCAACCTAATGTATCTCTCACCTTCCACTCACCCAAATATTAAAATCTGATTATTTATTATTCAACAATGTAATAATATTGACAGTGTGTAATAGGGTGTTGGACCCCCACATGCCGTGCTGTCTGGACAGTAGACTACAGCCCCTCCTGTTAGAATGGGCCCTGGCACAGAGTCACAGAGACAGTAGACTACAGCCTGTCCTGTTAGAATGGGCCCTGGCACAGAGTCACAGAGACAGTAGACTACAGCCCCTCCTGTTAGAATGGGCCCTGGCACAGAGTCACAGAGACAGTAGACTACAGCCCCTCCTGTTAGAATGGGCCCTGGCACAGAGTCACAGAGACAGTAGACTACAGCCTGTCCTGTTAGAATGGGCCCTGGCACAGAGTCACAGAGACAGTAGACTACAGCCTCTCCTGTTAGAATGGGCCCTGGCACAGAGTCACAGAGACAGTAGACTACAGCCTCTCCTGTTAGAATGGGCCCTGGCACAGAGTCACAGAGACAGTAGACTACAGCCTCTCCTGTTAGAATGGGCCCTGGCACAGAGTCACAGAGACAGTAGACTACAGCCTGTCCTGTTAGAATGGGCCCTGGCACAGAGTCACAGAGACAGTAGACTACAGCCTCTCCTGTTAGAATGGGCCCTGGCACAGAGTCACAGAGACAGTAGACTACAGCCTCTCCTGTTAGAATGGGCCCTGGCACAGAGTCACAGAGACAGTAGACTACAGCCTCTCCTGTTAGAATGGGCCCTGGCACAGAGTCACAGAGACAGTAGACTACAGCCCCTCCTGTTAGAATGGGCCCTGGCACAGAGTCACAGAGACAGGACAGGCTACAGAAAAGTAATGCATAGATGTCAATGGGTGAACACAGGTTAGATACCTGTTTTAGATATAATGATGATTTCTACCTCAGGGAGCTCCAGGTATCCAGGGTCTGACTGGACTGCTTGGCCCCGCGGGGCCCCCCGGACCACAGGGAACCACTGGACTGCCCGGGCCTAAGGGCCAACTGGTAAGAAATGTGTTGTTTAATTTTGACCACTCATTTCATTGATTGGATCAAGAATGGTTGTCAGGTCCCTAGTTTTGTTACAAAGGGCATAGAAACTACTGCTGGTTTCCATGCTGCAGGTAAAATGCTATCATATGGCTACATGTTCATAACGGTGTCAAGAAAAGCTAGTTCTCAAACCTTAAGCTCGTACATTGTCAGTAGACCTGAAAAACAATGTCATGTGAAACATCTATCCATCATCTTTTTCTCACAGGGTGATTTGGGCATTACCGGATTCAAAGGAGAGGCTGGATTCAAAGGAGAATCTGTAAGATATACAACCTGTCATAATGAATCTCACTAATTCCATGGTGTGATATTGTACAGTAGCAACCACATGCATTTGTTGAAAGGCAGGTCATGCTGGCGCTGGTTTCTGTCTGAATGGGGTGCATGTGTATCTGAGCCTTCCTCAAAAGTTCAGCATGTTCAGTTCATTTATTTGGCCTTTGACAGAAATGTCACTTGCATTATCGAGCAATGAGTTAAAGACAACATCAAGGGTAACAACATTTTCCACTGGGCTCTTCCTTCAGTCCTGGGCTTTAAAGTGCTTGGTGCATGTTGAGCAGTTGATGCTCCTAGGGACAAAGTAAATTATCCACACCCAAAGTTGAGTGCAACAACAATATATTCATGGTGCTCTTAAAAGTCCATTCAGTAAAATATAACAAACACTGATGTATGATGTAGCAGCCATCTTGTTTGATTATGATATCATTGCAGGGTGCACCTGGTGATCATGGAGCGCTGGGTCCCATGGGAGAGGAGGGGAAGAGGGGAGAACGGGGTGACTCCGGGGATTCAGGCGCCGCTGGACCCAATGGAGAGAGAGTAAATCAGCTCTTTCACTCACTACAAGAACTTTGTCTGTCTGTCTTGTCTTTCTCTCGCTCTCTCTCACTCTCTCTCACTCTCGCTCTCTCTCTCTCTCGCGCGCGCGCGCTCTTTCTCGTGCGCTCTCTCTCTCTCTCGCTCTCTCTCTCTCTCTCTCTCTTTCTCTCTCTCGCTCTCTCTCTTTCCTCAGTGCATTCAATAACAGCAAAATTATTTGATTAAAATCAAAATAATTTAGCAAATTTTGATAAAAACCAATTTGTAATTTTCAGGGTGCTCCTGGCAATAGAGGTTTTCCTGGTCAGGATGGGTTACCTGGTCAAAAGGTAGGTTGATTTCGAATCCATAGAATAAGTCAGCCGGTGTAAGTCATTGAATAATAATATTACGCCATTCGAACGCCACACTCCATTCTGTGACCAGGGTGCCCAAGGTGAGCGAGGCCTGGGTGGATCATCTGGTGCCAAAGGTGCCGATGGTGATCCAGGACGCACTGGGGAGCCAGGTCTTCCAGGGGCCCGGGTGAGATAACACACCACTACCTCTCGTCAGCATTCTCTATGACAGAAGTATATTCCTTTGTGGTGATCGTCAAACTTACGTTGATACCAGATGAAAAAGACATGAGAAGTACATAAACAAAACCGGCAAAGAAAAAATAGTAAACGTTTGACATTTCATCACTGAGTTGATTAAAATCCTCCCGTTTCTTTCCTCAGGGTCTGTCAGGCCTTCTCGGCTCCCAGGGTCCCGAGGGACAGCAAGGACCAATGGTGTGTGGACATGAGTCAGGAAATATATATACACTCCCATACCTATTTATTTGGACAGTGATGTTAAAACTTTTAATTTGGCTCTATACACCAGCATTTTGGATTTGAGCTTAAATGTTTTATATGAGGTGATTTCATACATACCGGTATCAGTTTTACCGTTTCGAAATGAGTGCACTTTATGTATCTAGTACCCCATTTGAAGGTGTCATAAATATTTGGACAAATTCACTTATAGTGTATTCAATTGAGTCAAAAGTTTAGTATTTGGACCCATATTCATAGCACGCAATGACTACATCATGTCACGATCGAGGTAAGGAGTAGACCAAGGCGCAGCGTGATGAACAAACATACTTTAATTAGTTAAAGTTTAAACATGAAACAAAACAAGAAACGACTCGTGACGTCCAACGGTATCAATGACCGAACACGGAACAAAAACCCACAAACACAAAGGGAAAACAGACAGTTTAAATATGGCTCCCAATCAGAGACAACCAGCCAACAGCTGACACTCGTTGCCTCTGATTGGGAGTCACTCAGGCAAACATAGAATTAAACACAACAGAATTACCAACATAGAAATACACACATAGAATGAACACACCCTGGCTCAACATAATGAGTCCCAGAGCCAGGGTGTGACAGTACCCCCCCCTAAAGGCGCGGACTGCGACCGCGCCTCATCTAAACAAAACAGGGGAGGGCTGGGCGGGCATACCTCCTCGGCGACGGTTCTGGCTCCGGCCTTGACCACCACCCTCCAATACACCCCCCATAGCGCCCCTGGTCCAGTCTGGCCCCGCCGGCTGGAGCCGAACTGGACTTAGCAGGAGCGGTTAGCTTCAGCTCCATAGTGGAGCAGTTGACCAGTACCTTACCAGGCACCGGTGACCCAGGCACGGGTTGTGCTGGACTGACGACGCGCACCCCTGGCTTGGTGCGTGGAGGAGGAACGGGCCTTACCAGGCTGACGACGCGCACCCCTGGCTTGGTGCGTGGAGGAGGGACGGGCCTTACCAGGCTGACGACTCGCACCCCTGGCTTGGTGCGTGGAGGAGGGACGGGCCTTACCAGGCTGACGACTCGCACCCCTGGCTTGGTGCGAGTGGCAGGAACAGGCCGGGCCGGGCTGGCGACGCGCACCGTAGACTTGGTGCGAGTGGCAGGAATACGGCCGGGCCGGGCTGGCGACGCGCATCGTATACTTGGTGCGAGTGGCAGGAACAGGCCGGGCCGGGCTGGCGACGCGCACCGTATACTTGGTGCGAGTGGCAGGAACAGGCCGGGCCGGGCTGGCGACGCGCACCGTAGACTTGGTGCGAGTGGCAGGAACAGGCCGGGCCGGGCTGGCGACGCGCACCGTAGACTTGGTGCGAGTGGCAGGAACAGGCCGGGCTGGCGACGCGCACTGTATACTTGGTGCGAGTGGCAGGAACAGGCCGGGCCGGGCTGGCGACGCGCACCGTAGACTTGGTGCGTGGAGCAGGGACAGGCCGGACTGGGCTGGCGACGCGCACCGTAGACTTGGTGCGAGTGGCAGGAACAGGCCGGGCCGGGCTGGCGACGCGCACCGTATACTTGGTGCGAGTGGCAGGAACAGGCCGGGCTGGCGACGCGCACCGTAGACTTGGTGCGTGGAGCAGGGACAGGCCGGACTGGGCTGGCGACGCACACCGTAGGCTTGGTGCGTGGAGCAGGGACAGGCCGGACCGGGCTGGCGACGCACACCGTAGGCTTGGTGCGTGGAGCAGGGACAGGCCGGACCGGGCTGGCGACGCACACCGTAGGCTTGGTGCGTGGAGCAGGGACAGGCCGGGCCGGGCTGTCGACGCACACCGTAGGCTTGGTGCGTGGAGCAGGGACTGGCCGGACTGGGCTGGCGACGCACACCGTAGGCTTGGTGCGTGGAGCAGGGACAGGCCAAACCGGGCTGTGGAGACGGATAGGAGCCCTGGAGTGAAGAGCGGCCACAACCCGTCCTGGCTGAATGCCTACCCTCACACACTCTGTGTGAGGCATCCGCACAGGACGTACAGGGCGGTGTATCCGTAACCTGGTGGCCTCCAGAATCCGCCCCTCTTTTGCCTCCGTCAGCCCCGTCGTCCATGCCGTGTGCCCCCCCCTAAAAAATGTCTGGGGTTGCCTCTCGACCGCCCGACGACGACCCTGATCACGCCGTTGCTCCTCTCTACGGCGCGCCTCCACCGTCTCTTCTCCCGGCGCTTCCTCCCATGTCCAGCCCAAGAGCTGCCCCTGGACACGCTGCTTGGTCATTGCATGGTGGGTTTTTCTGTCACGATCGAGGTAAGGAGTAGACCAAGGCGCAGCGTGATGAACAAACATACTTTAATTAGTTAAAGTTTAAACATGAAACAAAACAAGAAACGACTCGTGACGTCCAACGGTATCAATGACCGAACACGGAACAAAAACCCACAAACACAAAGGGAAAACAGACAGTTTAAATATGGCTCCCAATCAGAGACAACCAGCCAACAGCTGACACTCGTTGCCTCTGATTGGGAGTCACTCAGGCAAACATAGAATTAAACACAACAGAATTACCAACATAGAAATACACACATAGAATGAACACACCCTGGCTCAACATAATGAGTCCCAGAGCCAGGGTGTGACACATCAAGCTTGTGACTCTACAAACTTGTTGGAAGCATTTGCAGTTTGTTTTGGTTGTGTTTCAGATTATGTTGTGCCCAATAGAAATTAATGGTAAATAAGGTATTGTCTAATTCTGGAGTCACTTTTATTGTAAATAAGAATAAAATATGTTTCTGAACACTTCTACATTAATGTGGATGTTACCATGACTACGGATAATCATGAATGAATCATGAATAATGATGAGTAAGAAAGTTACAGAAAATCACGCCCCCAAAACATGCTAAACCTCTCACCATTACAATAGGTTAGCATTGTGGGGGGTTATGATATTTGTGTGTCTGTAAATTTCTATTCATGATTCATTCATGATTATTCGTAATCATGGTAACATCCACGTTAATGTAGAAGTGTTCAGAAACATATTAAATACGCAGGGGGTGTCACGATCGCCAATAAAGTAGGACCAAAGCGCAGCGTTGGGAGTGAACATGATGACTTTAATGTTTGAAAACGACAAAACAAATCACGATCCGTAACGTCCTCAGTACACCGACTGAACATAGAACAAAAACCCACAACTAACACAAGAAAACCTACATCTTAAATATGGCTCCCAATCAGAGATAACGAGCCGACAGCTGACACTCGTTACCTCCGATTGGGAGTCATTGAATACAAACAAGGAAACACAACCACAACCTAGAAATAGACACAACAGAACTCCCCACCTAGAAATAAACGTGCCAGACATGCAACCATAAAACATCACCCAAAACCCAACAAAACAACATACACCCTGGCTCAAATACACAAGTCCTGGAGCCAGAGTGTGACAGGGGGGTGTATAATACATGGTGTTATCTATAGACAGGCCACAAGTGAACCTACCTCTGTTTCTCTCTCTCTCTCTCTCTCTCTCTCTCTCCCCCCCCCCCCCCCCCCCCCCCCCCCCCCCCCCCCCCCCCCCCCCCCCCCCATCTCTCTCTCTCTCTCCCTTCCCTCTCTCTCTCAGGGAGGAGGAGGAGAGGATGGGGGATCAGGGCCAGCAGGATCAGATGGTTCCAGAGGTCCAGCTGGAACCATGGGTGTAGTTGGACCAAAAGGCTTTACTGTGAGTAACCAGCACTTTATGGTGATTGTGTGTGTGTGTTCCTTTCCACAATATACAGTAGAATCAGCTCCATTAAACCCATCACTTTTAGAATGATGAGTGAAATACTGTAGCTGTTCAATGCATCTACCATGGACCATACAATGTCAGGAGAGACACTTGAATGCCACTTATGTGATATAAGAAGGGGGAAACATTGACATGTTATTGATTGTTGATCATTGTTAATTTGTCCTCACAGGGAGACCCTGGTAAGACAGGAGAAGTGGGGACCCCAGGTGTTGCAGGACAGAGGGTCAGTACAATACACTCATCAGGGGTTCAAATACGATTTTGTAGGTGGCGGAACTGCCTCAAACTGGTCCATTTCATAATAGAAACTGGGTGGTTCGAGCCCTGAATGCTGATTGTATACCACGGGTATGACAAAACATTTATTTTTACTGCTCTAATTATGTTGGTAACCAGTTTATAATAGCAATAAGGCACCTTGGGGTTTGTGGTATATGGCCAATATACCACGGCTAAGGGCTGTATCCAGGCACTCCACCTTGCGTCGTGCTTAAGCACAGCCCTTAGCTGTGGTATATTGGCCTTATTGCTTAAATAAATCATTTTCAGTTTCCATTCTATGCTCTTTCCCATTGTAAACTGGTAGAAATCTACTGTAGTACCTCACTGTCCACACTGACCTCTGAGGACTTTCTCTTACAGGGGGCTAATGGGAAAGCTGGAGAGATGGGTGCTGGTGGTACTGCTGGTCCAGCAGTAAGTATCTGATTAATATGTTTCAATTGAACGATACATACCAACACAGTTTAAACATTAAATACTGTATGGGGTTATGGCAAGCGTAAGCCGTTGCTGGTTTTCCCATCCATGCTTGACTTTTTTTTAGGGAGTTGCGGGGAAGAGAGGAGAGCAAGGACCTCCTGGTATGAATGGCTTCCAGGTATGCTGTTTCACTTGGTATTTATTGACCTTGTATTTACTAGAATAGAGACGAGTCATAGTACTAAACAATAAAGGGTAAATGAGAACTATAATGGTGTGATGTATTTCAGGGTCTACCTGGATCTGCTGGTCCCCCTGGAGAGTCTGGGAAACCAGGTGTTGAGGTACGGTATGACATCACGCCCCACTGTGACAGACAACAGCCTCTATTTACAGTTGATTTATTTACAGCTTATTTATGTTACATTTCAACAATAGATTATTTCTATAGATAATGAACTGAATTTTGTTATATTGATAGACACATTTTAGTAGACGCTCTTATCCAAAGCGACTTACAGTAGTGAGTGCATACATTTTCATACTAGTCCCCCGTGGGAATCGAACCCACAACCCTGGCGTTGCAACCGCCATGCTCTACCAACTGAGCTACATGACTGGGTATGTGTGCCTTTGCCTGCAATGGACAAACAAAGGAACACATATTAACCAATCATGCGTCTGCCAGCATAAGGAAACACATTCCGTTCATTATCTACAGTAAGAATCTAGAGATGTAACATGTTTTCCATTGTTTTTGAGTTGAGCTATAGCTATACAATGCTACTATCAGGTTCATCAACGTTTCACTGTTATTTAATGCTGCATTTACACAAGAAGCCCAATTCTGATCTTTTACCTTATTATTGACAGCAGGTTGGCATTTATTGGGATGACTAATGTTCTGGAGGCAGCTCTGCACGGTAGTCACTAGCTGGCACAGCCACAAAGTCATAAAATATTATTTTAAACCTAACCTTAACCACAATGCTAACCCTTTGCCTAAACCTAACCTTAAATTAAGACCATATTTTTGTTTTCATGAATTTTTACGATATTGACAATTTTGACTTTCGATCTGGCCCTTAAACGTCAACCTGCTTATTGGCAAAATAGCTGATCTGGTTGGTCAAAAGATCAATTAGTGAAAAAAGATCAGAATTAGGCTTCCTGCGTAAACAAGTTCAAGTTTATTTGTGGTATGCACACGATACACATGGTATACACAGTCCAACGAAATGCTTACTTGCAGGTTCCCTCTCGACAATCAGACAACAATAAGAAATAGTCAAAGATAAGAATACGAACATAACAAGGAAATTAGCTCAGTAGAATAGAATAAATGTAGCATAAGTATAAATACAGGAAGTGTGTCAGGGAAGGGGATTGGAGAGCAAGGAAGGGGGAGGACGGGATTGAAACAGCCTGTCTGTTGTGTTGATTGAATGTTTTTGGTTTTGTCATTCCCAGGGTATCGCTGGAGAGGGAGGGGCTGCTGGTTTCACAGGGCCAAGGGTAAGCCATTTTAATAGCTGCTTTATCTATTCACTTGATGCCCATTTGAATACAACCCGCAATTGTCACGCCTCCTCCCGTCGCTCCCCTCCGGCGCTCTGATTCGCCGGTCTACTGAGCCACCGGTCTGAGCGCACCACCTCGGCAACACTGGAATGGAAACCCAACGCACCCTAATCACCTCCAGCGCACCTGCACCTCATCATCTCATCACCACCCCTATTTAGCCCTGGACTGTTCTGGATGATGTTGTGTGTGATTGTTTAGCTTCGTGTCGTTTACTCTATTCTTTGTTATTTCTCTTGCGCATTGTTTAGGTAAACCTTGACCTTGTTAATTCCTGCGTCTGCGTCCTGCCTCTTCGTATACTCAGTACTCTTCACAGCAATAGGGGGAAAGTAACCCTGCCCCTCTGCAGAGAAAATGTATCTTCCAACTGAAATCAAAATCATATTTCTAATTTTTCAATACAGAAATACAATTACCTAATACATAATGGAAACCTATTGTGTGGCAAAATGTAGTTTTTTTTCCAATGCAGTTTTGTTTCGTTCAGTCCTATTCTTCACTAGTAAAATAAGGTTTATAACTAGGGCACTGTGTTTTTGTTAATCATGTCACATGACCTAGATTTTAATCTTTATATAAAGCTTTTTCATCAAACTGTCCCATTTTTTTTATGTCAGCACCATCCTCTGACAATTGCTTTCATTTTTGGTCTAATTCTCATTTCTGGAAAAGGCTTCAAATCCAGGTCATGTGACATGATAACCAAAACGCGAGGCCCTGTTTATAACATACAGCTGTAAAGAAGTTGTTGGTAGCTGACCAGTGGGTGATTGTATGATTGTATCGTAGGGTGAGCGTGGCACCCCAGGAGAGAGAGGTGAAGTGGGAACTAACGGACTACTGGGGCCTAAAGGTATTTCAGGGGGACCAGGACCAGAGGGACCAAAGGTAAGTACTACATCACAAAGGTTAACTTTAAAATGTGTATGTATTTATTTATTCATTCATTCATTTAACCAGGTTGTCAAAAGATATATCTTTCACGAGGGAGGCCTAATGCAGATTAACAATGTAATGATAACCTCAAATATCCATGGTATTTCCCACAAACATATGATATGAGAGTTGTTTTTGTGTGTGTTCTTCCCCCCCCAGGGTGGGTCTGGGACTAAAGGAACAGTTGGGGACATAGGAGCCTTAGGCCTGCAGGGGATGCCAGGGGAGAGGGGTATACCTGGTTCTCCTGGTCCTAAAGGAGATGTGGTAAGTATCTGTGTTGGAGGGGAAAATATCAACCAGAACTTGGTTAAATCCACAAAGTAACTCCAGAGTCCAAGACACTAGAAGAAACTGCAAGTTGTAACCCTTCAGAGTGTTGTATTCCATACTATAGCTGGGTGGGTGAGAGTTCATTCTGCAGTCCTGTTCTGCTGACCCCTCTTCTCTCCTCAGGGTTCAGTTGGTGAGAAAGGAGCTGAGGGTACTGCTGGAAACGACGGGCCCAGGGTGAGAGTCACCTTACACATACATATCTACACATATCTTTATGAGTCACCTAAATGGATTACATCAATGGATTTAAGCCAAAATAACATCTTAAAATGTCACTCACTCACAACAACATTTTGTTACATTAAAGATGAATGATATAATGTCCAAATGTAGTGACGTCATCATAACCAATTTTACGCCCTGGGTTGAGTGTAGGCAGCTTTTGATGCACACTAGTTTCATTGGTTTCACAACCATAGTAAGTTGTTCACAGCAAGTTGTCATATATTTGAAGTCCTGTTTGTTTTTCATTTGAAGGGACTTCCTGGTCCAGTTGGACCAACAGGAGGCATTGGGCTCAATGGTAATAAGGTAAAGCGATCATCGCTCAAATTTATTCATAAAGCCCTTTTTACATCATCACTTGTCACAAACTGCTTTTATAGTAACCCGGCCTAGACCCCAAAGGAGCATCCACTATACACTCAACAACAGCACTTAGACAGACAGACTAGTTGAACATACACTGTAGCTGAGAACACTTATCCATATTAAGGCCTCAGTGCATACCACAGATACCCAGACAATATATTATATTTGTTTGTTTTAGGGAGAGGCCGGCCCTAAAGGGCCCCCTGGACGTCGAGGAGCGAGAGCAGTCACCGTAAGTACTGTGATTAGTTTTGTAAAAATTATTGACGCACGAGAAATACTGTAAATTGTCTTGTGTACAATTGTCCCACAGTAAAAAAAGACAATTGCAACATACTGTTAATAGTTCTCATATACCTCTGTATTGACCTCTGACCCTCCATATGTTTTAGGGGGCTTCTGGAGAGCCTGGTCCAATCGGTGCAGTAGGATTCCCTGGGCCTCCTGTGAGTGGCTTTCAAACAATGTTAAAGGGCCTGTCATGCCAAATAGTATCCGCTATGACAGGCCCCGCCCTGTTGTATGGTGTCCCTTGATGTTGTGCTAATTTGTCAACCTTGGCTTGGTGTTGTTACAGGCGTTGTCTGAACAGATTATGCTGCAAACATCCTCCTGTATAATGTAGAATTAACCTTTCAGTTCTGAGCGAAAATGTCGTCTTGAGGCTAATGGGCCGAATCCGAATCCTAACTTTGATGTCATTGGGAAACTTCTGTGAACATTTCAGTAATGGTCAAAGTTAATAACCATTTCCATATAACCACATAGTAACCGTATCCATGGTGAGGCTTGGAAGTCGTTTTGCATGGTGATTCATTTGCCCAGTAATCGTGGTTATTATGTCCGACTCTTCGCAGGGTCCCGATGGGCAACCCGGGGTCAAAGGTGAACCAGGAGAGGGGGGTCAGAAGGGTGAGGCTGGAGCACAGGGACCCCAAGGAACAGCTGGTAAACTTGGTTCACAGGGTCCTGTTGGTGTGACTGGACTAAAGGGGGCCAGAGGAACACAGGGGGCCGCGGTGAGTGAGTCGTACTGAGGGTTACGTATAACGGTTGGAGCACTTTACCATGGTATTTACTGTAGAAATAGACCTGGTCATGGTTACTCAGCACAGAGTATGAATGCTTTCCTAGGGAATTCACTGAATTTGTAGTATGTTGATATTTTCTGATAAGAATTTCCTCTGTCATTTTCAGGGTGGGTCTGGTTTCCCAGGTTTCCCAGGGGGAGTTGGTCCAGCTGGCTCCGCTGTGAGTTAATCCAACTATCAACCAATCAAATCAATTTATACCTATGAGATCACCAATAAATGATTTCATAAATCATAGAACAATATAGTAAAATATGTTATTTTATTCACGTTGTCTCTCCACTCTTCCAGGGTGCGGTAGGGGCGCCTGGAGACATTGGTACCCCAGGGAAGGCAGGTACTCCTGGACTTAGAGGTGAGAATGGAGGCCCTGGGCGTGTAGGAGAGAGAGGGGCCCCGGGCCCAGCTGGTGCCCCGGGAGACAAGGGAGAGCCTGGAGAAGATGGACCAGGGGTAAATATGAGAGAGTTACAGAAGTAATCGTTTTACCTTTATTGCTTCATCTTTTGTTTACATCTAAAGTGGTTTACAGAGCGAGACGTCTCTGCCATCCTCCATTACTCTATACTTATTTTGCTATATAGCAAATATCTGAAGTTACCATTGGCCAATGGGATGGATCCACCTGTTAAAAGGTCTTTGTTTCTGACAGGGCCCTGATGGGCCGGCGGGACCACCAGGCATCTCAGGACAGAGAGGTGTTGTGGGCATACCTGGAGTCAGAGGAGAGAGCGGGATGGTTGGGCTCCCCGGTACTGCTGTACGTATGAGGCCTAGTCGATGGAACTCAAGTTCACATTCACCATTCATTTCTATAGCCTTGAGAGCAGTATCATTCTACACAGAGCAGAGTGTTTTGAGTCCCAATCGAAGACTATACAGTACACGCATATACAATTTCCATTTGTGTCCTGACCAGTGATCTCACACTTATTTTCCCAGGGTGCACCCGGAAAATCAGGTGCCCCCGGAACTCGGGGAGACAAAGGTGCTGTCGGTGCAGTCGGGTTAGCAGGGGCAACTGGACCGAGAGGAGACCCTGGTCTTGAGGTATATCATTTAACTTCATTGACCCATGACTGTTCTTTCTGTGGGTTCAGTGAACCCATTTCCATTAAAACCAACTGTGGATTAAAACTCACATACACACCTTTCATTCATGTGGGAACTATAATAGTTCACCTGAAAAGCAGGTCTTTACTGTAACAGAAGGATACTGTACTATACAGCACAGGTAAACTTAATGCAGCAATCTGTCTTTACAGGGTAATGCTGGGTCTGATGGGGTACCTGGCAAGGATGGACTTATAGGAGCCAGGGTAAGATACAACCACAGATGGACAAGAAACTTTATGGAAATGTATGATCAAACTATTTCACCAGATAATGTCTGTCTGTCTGTAGGGAGATAGAGGGAATCCTGGTGCTGAGGGTCTTGCTGGAACTCCGGGGCTTCATGGCTCTGTTGGTCCAGTCGGCACCTCTGGTGTCCCTGGAAAGAGAGGAGACAATGTGAGTAACCTGGACATTGCCACAATGCCATTGCAAAGTGAATTGCCACACCAACATTCAGAGCCTTCTAACCCTGAGACATGACTGTAGACTCTTATGGAGTTAGAGCTCATAGGAGTCTACAGTGTTTGAGGTCAAATCCAGTACAAAAATATATGCACTCACTACTGTAAGTCTCTCTGGATAAGAGCTTCTGCTAAATGGCTAAAATGTAATGTTTCAGGGTTAAGGGCTGTCATGCTCTGAGTAGATGTGGCAAAGTTGGTAGTAGGAACCTAATTTCAGGTTGCTTCCCTTGACATTGGTTTTGTGTTTTTCAACACTAGGGTTCCAGAGGGCCTCCAGGACCCCAGGGAGAATCGGGGATCCGGGGGAAGCTGGTAAGAACACCTCTATTACATTTCCTACGAAGTAGAGTAAACTACTAGTGGTAGTAGTTTGCTTTTTGATTACTGAAGTACATATAAATTAGTGATGAGCACTGATATGGAAAATCTCCGTTAACTTTTTTTTACGGAACCAATATCGGTATCAAAACAATTTGAATGAATAACATTGAAACAGTTGAATAACATTGCACTTCCATGGCTTTGTAAAGTTCAGACAGCTACTTGCTGATTGCCCATTGGGCCAGGTGTGTATGCTCTGTGGGCCTGACATACCCAACCAGTTTGAATACAATGGGAAGCCCGTTCCAAGTTTTAATGTCACATGGAAATGTCTTTCTTGCTAACTCAAAACCCAACAATGCAATAATCAATAACAATGTATTACTAGAAAAAACACACAAGGAATAAGAAATATGAAATACACTATAAAGTAAGTAAGCATACTATATACAGGAAATATTTAAAAGGTCAGTTCCAATACCATATTTACATGTGCAGGGATACTGGAGTGAGGACGGTAGTAGATATATATAGGTTATTAGACAAAAGGATATAAATTCAACAGAGTAGCAGCAGCTTGTATGTGAGTGGGTGTGTAGTGTGGCAGCAGAGAAAATAATCTATGGCTTGGGTGGTTGGAGTCTTTGACGGTGTGATGGCCCATCAGCAGACAGGGAAGTTAACTAAATTGAGAGCCTGTGAGAGGTTTCTTGTGTCTGCAGGAACAGTCTTCTATGCTCTTTTACATAATAATACTAGATTAACAGCAAGGATAAACCGCTATCACGATATGCCTTGCTCATATTGATATCGAACTATATCGATAGCATATTGAATTATCGATATTGGTGCCCACCACTAAGATGAACCTATGCTACTGAAACAGTAACCTGTATCTATTGACATAGACCAGTAAGCCCACATTGCATTCGTCTCAAATGAATGTTATGGAGAAGTTAGATATTCATCTGGATAAATCTGCTCACAGTAATTTACAGCAAATGTTAATGTATTTTTTTTTAATCCTAGGGGCCTCAAGGGCCACAGGGAGACAGGGGAGCCAAAGGAGACCAAGGAGAAAGGGGGCAGAAAGGACACAGAGGCTTCACTGGATTGCAAGGCTTACCTGGGACAACAGTAAGGGAAAAAACGGCCCAAACGCTATTAAAAGGCATAATCTGTCATTTAATTTATGGAAAATCGTATTAACCTGGCAAAATCAATGATATGATGCTATGATTATTAATTATTGTCAGCCAATAACAGGCTAATTTAATGGGCTTCTGTTTGTAGGGACAATCTGGGAATGTTGGAGCTCGAGGAATTGTAGGACCTACTGGACAGAGAGTAGGTGCACTGAATAAGCTGTTAATGCCTCAGTATAATGGTCCATTTGTGTGTACTGTTTGTTTCCCTTCATAAACCCCATTGTGTTTCTCATCAGGGCCCCCCTGGTGTAGTTGGCCCCGCAGGAGGTGATGGACAAATCGGGCTGACCGGGCCCATGGGCTCCCCTGGATCAAGAGGAATAAGTGGAGACATCGGACCTCAGGTGAGACGTTAGAGACTATTAACCAGTGGTTCTGTTGTCATTCTGCTGGTTGGATCCGCTATGACTTTCAAATGGATATCAGAACAAACCAGGCTTTGGATGTTGATAAGTTGAATTGCTTGTCTGTAATGCAAATAAGTCATAAGTGACACATTCACAGTGTTTCTAATGTAAAAGAAGCCAACAAGCAGACATGGCATATCAAAAGGACAGTAACATACCTGTTTTCTTGACTTCTCGCCTCTTTCCCAGGGGCCTCCTGGAGATGATGGTCCACCCGGTCCCCCAGGGACCCCTGGCCCTCCCACTGCTGGGGCTGATATGTTCAGCCTTGGCAGCTCCTTTGACTACGACTACGGCGAGGACCAGGATGGACCACCTCCACCCCCAGAGTTTAACGGGGATGAATCAGCCCCCCCTCAACCCCTCTCCAGAGTCCAACTGGGACGACTCCGGCCCCCATCCCCCTCCAGAGTTCAACGAGGATGAGGCGCGTCCCAATAAGGCCTCAACCGTCCTCAGGGCAGACCAGGGCATCCAGACCACGCTGAAGAGCCTCAGTGGAAACCTGCAGAACATGAAGTGCCCCGACGGCAGCCAGGCCAACCCCGCCAAAACCTGCCAGGACATCAAGCAGTGCCACGCCCTTAAAAAGACCGGTGGGTCCACTATTCACCAACGACTGTGTGTTGTTTTTTTTCTTGTTTTTTAGTTGCTTTTTGTCTTGCCTATTCTTTATTCAAGCTTTTGATTTGCTGCGATGTGGAAACGTTTTAGTTCACGGCCAAGTGTTGAGTTTCCTGCTCTTCCCCTTCAGCATAGAACTGTGTGTTAGTTTGGGTGTTATAGATGAATGAATGGATGGATACACTTGATTTGTGATCTTAACTTTATTGACAAGTGGGGTCAGTGTGTCTAGTAGTCTAGTAGATGATGAGGTAGCTGAAGAGATACTAAGCTGATGTGTATCTATGTTCTGATACTTGGTCTTTCCATGTCCAGGAGACTACTGGCTGGACCCCAACCAGGGAAGTACCAAGGATGTTATCAAGGTGTTCTGCAACATGGAGACTGGTGAGACCTGCATCTCAGCCCACCCTGTCTCAGCCAGCATCCCTCGCAAAACATGGTGGACCAAATCTACTCCCACTGCCAGCAAACCTGTCTGGTTTGGAGCAAACATGAATGGAGGAACTAAAGTGAGTATATAAAATATACCCAATGTCTATTCAATGAACGCAAGTAGTATATAGATGATAGCTTTACATTGTGGAAACCTCTAAAGCGGCCAACTGCTTCTATGAATACACTAGCTACCATACTGTATAATACATTCACCACAATACTGCTTTAAAAACATACATCCTCTGCTGCCTTGATTATATAGCAATGGAATACCTGGAGCTGTTTGTGAAAAACCGTTACACCTCCAGGTGTATTTTTCTAACATTTATGTAAAAACTGAAATGTTGATGAATGTATACTAGTGTCCCTGTTAAATACTTTTGTTCAATAAACATTTGATTCCAGTTTAGCTACGGCAACAAGGAGGAGTTGCCCAACGCCGTAACCATTCAGATTAGGCTAATCCGCCTGCTGTCTAAGGAGGGTGTCCAGAATGTCACCTACCACTGCAGGAACAGCGTGGCCGTGAATGACGGAGCCACAGGCAACATGAAGAAGGCTCTGGTCCTCAAGGGCTCCAACGGACAGGAGGTCAAGGCTCAGGGCAACGCCCGCCTCAGATACACTGTCCTGGAGGACGGCTGCTCCGTAAGTCACCTAACTACCAGCCTACCTACCTATACTTACCTATACCTACTTCTACCTACAGTATACCTACCTACCTACCTACCTACCTGCCTATACCTACAGTATACCTACTATACCTGCCTACCTACCTACCTATACCTACTTCTACCTACAGTATACCTTGCGAAGGTTTTCACCCCCCTTGGCATTTTTCCTATTTTGTTGCCTTACAACCTGGAATTAAAATAGATTTTTGGGGGGTTTGTATCATTTGATTTACACAACATGCCTACCACTTTGAAGATGCAAAATATTTTTTATTGTGAAACCAACAAGAAATAAGACAAAAAAAAACAGAAAGCTTGAGCGTGCATAATTATTCACCGACCCAAAGTCAATACATCGTAGAGCCACCTTTTGCAGCAATTACAGCTGCAAGTATCTTGGGGTATGTCTCTATAAGCTTGGCACATCTAGCCACTGGGATTTTTGCCCATTCTTCAAGGCAAAACTGCTCCAGCTCCTTCAAGTTGGATGGGTTCCGCTGGTGTACAGCAATCTTTAAGTCATACCACAGATTCGCAATTGGATTGAGGTCTGGGCTTTGACTAGGCCATTCCAAGACATTTAAATGTTTCCCCTTAAACCACTCGAGTGTTGCTTTATCAGTATGCTTAGGGTCATTGTCCTGCTGAAAGGTGAACCTCCGTCCCAGTCTCAAATCTCTGGAAGACTGAAACAGATTTCCCTCAAGAATTTCCCTGTATTTAGTGCCATCCATCATTCCTTAAATTCTGACCAGTTTCTCAGTCCCTGCCTATGAAAAACATCCCCACAGCTGATGCTGCCACCACCATGCTTCACTGTGGGGATGGTGTTCTCGGGGTGATGAGAGGCGTTGGGTTTGCACCAGACATAGCGTTTTCCTTGAATGCAACTCTGCCTAGAAGGTCATCATCCCAGAGTCGCCTCTTCGCTGTTGACGTTGAGACTGGTGTTTTGCGGGTACTATTTAATGAAGCTGCCATTTGAGGACCCGTGAGGCGTCTGTTTCTCTAGACACTCTAATGTATTTGTCCTCTTGCTCAATTGTGCACCGGGGCCTCCCACTCCTCTTTCTATTCTGGTTAGAGCCAGAAGTTTTCAGCTGTGCTAACATAATTGCAAAATGGTTTTCTAATGATCAATTAGCCTTTTAAAATGATAAACTTGGATTAGCAAACACAACCTGCCATTGGAACACAGGACTGATGGTTGCTGATAATGGGCTTCTGTACACCTATGTAGCTATTCTATAAAAAAATCAGCCGTTTCCAGCTACAATAGCCATTTACAACATTAACAATGTCTACACTGTATTTCAGATCAATTTGATGTTATTTTAATGGACAAAAAATGTGCTTTTCTTTCGAAAAACAAGGACATTTCTAAGTGACCCCAAACATTTGAATGGTTATATATACAGTGGGGAGAACAAGTATTTGATACACTGCCGATTTTGCAGGTTTTCCTACTTACAAAGCATGTAGACGTCTGTAATTTTTATCATAGGTACACTTCAACTGTGAGAGACGGAATCTAAAACAAAAATCCAGAAAATCACATTGTATGATTTTTAAGGAATTAATTTGCATTTTATTGCATGACATAAGTATTTGATCACCTACCAACCAGTAAGAATTCCGGCTCTCACAGACCTGTTCGTTTTTCTTTAAGAAGCCCTCCTGTTCTCCACTCATTACCTGTATTAACTGCACCTGTTTGAACTCGTTACCTGTATAAAAGACACCTGTCCACACACTCAATCAAACAGACTCCAACCTCTCCACAATGGCCAAGACCAGAGAGCTGTGTAAGGACATCAGGGATAAAATTGTAGACCTGCACAAGGCTGGGATGGGCTACAGGACAATAGGCAAGCAGCTTGGTGAGAAGGCAACAACTGTTGGCGCAATTATTAGAAAATGTAAGAAGTTCAAGATGACGGTCAATCACCCTCGGTCTGGGGCTCCATGCAAGATCTCACCTCGTGGGGCATCAATGATCATGAGGAAGGTGAGGGATCAGCCCAGAACTACACGGCAGGACCTGGTCAATGACCTGAAGAGAGCTGGGACCACAGTCTCAAAGAAAACCATTAGTAACACACTACGCCGTCATGGATTAAAATCCTGCAGCGCACGCAAGGTCCCCCTGCTCAAGCCAGCGCATGTCCTGGCCCGTCTGAAGTTTGCCAATGACCATCTGGATGATCCAGAGGAGGAATGGGAGAAGGTCATGTGGTCTGATGAGACAAAAATAGCTTTTTGGTCTAAACTCCACTCGCCGTGTTTGGAGGAAGAAGAAGGATGAGTACAACCCCAAGAACACCATCCCAACCGTGAAGCATGGAGGTGGAAACATCATTCTTTGGGGATGCTTTTCTGCAAAGGGGACAGGACGACTGCACCGTATTGAGGGGAGGATGGATGGGGCCATGTATCGCGAGATGTTGAGTAAGAGCATTGAAGATGGGTCGTGGCTGGGCCTTCCAGCATGACAACGACCCGAAACACACAGCCAGGGCAACTAAGGAGTGGCTCCGTAAGAAGCATCTCAAGGTCCTGGAGTGGCCTAGCCAGTCTCCAGACCTGAACCCAATAGAAAATCTTTGGAGGGAGCTGAAAGTCCGTATTGCCCAGCGACAGGTCTGTATGGAGGAGTGGGCCAAAATCCCTGCTGCAGTGTGTGCAATCCTGGTCAAGACCTACAGGAAACGTATGATCTCTGTAATTGCAAACAAAGGTTTCTGTACCAAATATTAAGTTCTGCTTCTCTGATGTATCAAATACTTAAGTCATGCAATAAAATGCAAATTAATTACTTTAAAATTATACAATGTGATTTTCTGGATATTTGTTTTAGATTCCATCTCTCACAGTTGAAGTGTAACTATGATAAAAATTACAGACCTCTACATGCTTTGTAAGTAGGAAAACCTGCAAAATCGGCAGTGTATTGTAGTGTATCTTGTCGCTTCTGGTGCTCATTGCTGTCAAACAAAGGAGTCCGCTCATACTGAACCTTTGATCATAAGTTTTATTCATATCACAAGATTTCAGCATAAGTGACGGATGTCATGACACCCGGAGAACGGCGTCCCAGATTGCAATGGCCGCTCTAACCTCTTGTCGTTTTTACCCAGTATATATAATCTTCCCAAGATAGGGGTGGCTCCCTCTACTGTCCAATCCCCTGTCTACAACACACAGACTTCTCTGTCCTATCCGGGGTGTCACATTAAAACCATTCCCTCTGACACTAAAATAAACCTCCTTTCAGTTCCACTTAAAAACATTAACAAAGACATAATCCTAATACACTACAGTATCAAATACTTGTTCTCCCCACTGTGTGTGTGTGTGTGTATATGTATAGATAGATAGATATGGCCAAAGGTATGTGGACACCTGAACATCTCATTCCAAAATCTAATATGTTGGGCGCTGATGTTGGGCGATTAGGCCTGGCTCGCAGTCAATGTTCTAATTCATCCCAAAGGTGTTAGATGGGGTTGAGGTCAGGGCTCTGTGCAGGCCAGTCAAGTTGTTCCACACCGATCTCGACAAACCATTTCTGTATGGACCTCGCTTTGTGCACGGGTGCATTGTCATGCTGAAACAGGAAAGGGCCTTCCCCAAACTGTTGCCACAACGTTGGAGGCACAGAATCGTCTAGAATGTCAGTGTATGCTGTAGTGTTAAGAGTACCCTTCACTGGAACTAAGGGGCCTAGCCCAAACCAAAGAAAACAGCCCCAGACCATTATTCCTCCTGCACCCAACTTTACAGTTGGCACTATGCATTGGGGCAGGTACCGCTCTCCTGGCATCCGCCAAACCCAGATTTGTCCATCGGACTGCCAGATGGTGATGCGTGATTCATCACTCCAGAGAACGCGTTTCCACTGCTCCAGAGTCCAATGGTGGCGAGCTTTATACCACTCCAGCCGATGCTTGGCATTGCGCATTGTTATCTTAGGCTTGTATGCGGCTGCTCGTCCATGGAAACCCATTTCATGAAGCTGCCGACGAACAGATCTTGTGCTGACATTGCTTCCAGAGGCAATTTGAGTGTTGAGTGTTGGAATCGAGGACAGACGATTTTTACGCGCTACGCTCTTCAGCACTTGGCGGTCCCGTTCTGTGAGCTTGTTTGGCCTACCACTTCATGGCTGAGCTGTTGTTGCACCTAGACGTTTCAGCTTCACAATAACAGCACTTAAAGTTGACCAGGGGAGCTCTAGCAGGGCAGAAATTTGACGAAATGACTTGTTGGAAAGGTGGTGCAACGTTGAAAGTCACTGAGCTCTTCAAGTAAGGCCTTTCTACTGCCAATGCTGGTCTATGGAGATTGCATGGCTGTGTGCCCGATGTTATATACCTGTCAGCAACGTGTGTGGCTGTAATAGCCGAATCCACAAATTTGAAGGGGTGTCCACATACTTTTGTATATATAGTGTACCTACCTACTATGGCTGTTTCGGTGACCGTAATACTGCCACACCGGCAGTCATGAGATATGACAGCAGTAAAATTCAGCGTGACTGTTGAGTCATGGTAATCTCCTCTTATGCACTCTGGACATGGATTAGTAGTTCCCAACTCGCTAACGATCATCAGGTCACTAATGGCCTGGTACTCAGGGTCTATTGTCCCTCTAACCACTCTGACATCAATGCAAATGCAATCGAAAATCACATCAACACTAACGGTGATTGAAAAAAATTTAATGACCGCCACAGCCCTACTACCCATCTATACCTACCTGCCTGCCTGCCCGCCCGCCCAACCAACCAACCAACCAACCATCTACCTACATAAGTTGTTGAATGTTTGAATCAGGTGTGCCAAAGTTGGTCTGGGAAGTGGGAACAAAAGTATTTTAGTATTGAATATTTTATTATGATCCACATTAGCTAGTACTAAAGCAGCAGCTACTCTACCTGGGGTCCACACAACACATAAATCAGAACATAATACAGAACAACAAGTACATCACAAGGACAGAACTACATACATTTAAAATAAGTAGACAAGCGTTCATACATTTATGACTTCATAGTCATGTAACTGTGGTTCTGTCCTATTATTTACTTGTTTACGTTGTATAGGACAATGAGTTGAATTCAGAAGTATAGATATGTCTTCTTATCCTCCTGTGTCCACAGATATCGAATGGAGACTGGGGCAAGACTGTGATTGAGTACAGGACTCAGACGCCAGCCAGACTACCTATCGTAGACTTGGCCCCCATGGACATTGGCAAGGAGGATCAGGAATTTGGCCTGGACATCGGACCTGTGTGTTTCTCCTAAACCCAACACACATGGATGGATTGATTTCTTTAACCCTTTGAGGAGTGCATTTTTTAGAACGCCATCCTCAGTTCTCAGTTTAAAGAGGCAATCTGGATTTCAAACATTCTTCAAGAATCAATGGCTATATATCATTCATTTAAAATATTGCCCCTTTAAGAATTAGGTTTCAGTTCAATAACTAATAATGATTAGACCCACCTGTTGTATAATGAACAACAACCCCTTGTGATGTCATCAATTAGAATCGGTTAGAATGTTGTCGTCCATTCTCCTCCAAAGGGTTAATTATTCCCAAGACTCTTGGACTACCTGCTGAAGCAATCAGCGTTGTACATAAAGGCCGGGCGGAGAAACATGTCCTGCCTGCTACTAAATTATTTATTGCATTTTTCCAAGATACAACTAAATTTGTTAGTGCAATGGTACTGGTAGCAATTATTATTGAGGAATGCAGGTGAATTGTATTAGAAGGTAATTGTGACATAATGGAGTTTCAGGTCCTGAAGGTTTAAGCTTGTTGAAAACGTGACAATTTATGGAACTTAAGTTATGAGTGTCAGTGTTGTATGACGTTCCATCATACAGTTTCTCAGTGAATGCCACTAAATAGATATACTTTCACTTGATGTTGAGACAAAACAACAACAATTGTATTCCTTTTTCAGATGTAAATGAAACATAAGAATGTAAATTGCCCTTCACACGTTTATTATTCCTGTTTATTGTTGATATTTTCTTCTTTCGACTGATGGTGTTACACCCAATAAAATGAATCTCATGCCCTTTTCAGTCAATCTGGTTTAAGCTTCAGGTCAGGATGAATAAAACAAATACCTTCCTATTCAATAACAGCGTTTGAATTATGCAGGGGCACAACTTTGGTTTTAGAAGTGGGGGGACATCATTTAATTTTTTTGCAATTTCAGAATGTGGGAGAGACATGTCCCCCCCTTCCCCAGTGAAAGTTGCGCCCCTGGAATTACGAGTTGGGGATATTTACATTTACATTTACGTCATTTCACCAATAATCCCAGAAGGAAAAATGTACAAGAGCAGACAGACTATTTATGTTTGATTTCTTTATTAAAATACTGTCTAATTTGTAATTAAAGAAGGATATAATGACAGTTTACATAGAAATCCTGGTCGGTCAACTTTCACAAAGCCTATATTTTTTGGAGAGATATAGATGCTCTTCCTTGATTAACATCCATACAGTTGAACTCTAATATATTGGCACACTTGCACGATTCACAATTTCTTCAAAATAATTTGTTGAAAGTTAAAGAACGTTGGTGTTCACGCATGTATTTGTTTGATTTATAACTGCACAGGACCAAGAAAAGAATTATAAACTGAAATTTAGATTTTTCACTTCAACGTTAAGAAAAATGGACTGGACTAAAGGTGGTAAATTGCAGGTGGCTACAGGGTTAAAATAGCCATTCAACCAGTTTTGAAAATTGAAAACAGAATATTCTGCTCTATTGCACTCCATTGTAAAGTGCAAGGGTGCCGATATATATTAGAGCGCAACAGTAGATGAACATGGCACTGAGTTTATTTGCCATGCGTAATAAATCTTACAAGAGCTCTTATATTAAAGTCAACATTAAAAACTGTAAGAAAGTTTAGAACAAGCAGTAACAATTATAGGCATAATTAATTAAGTCAAATTCCCCAAGGAAATGACCACACATCCAAAGAAAAATAAAAGTTCAGGGTTGAGTGGAACAACATAGACTGAAGATCCGAAGCAGGTAACAGTACACTGTTTCTCTCATCTCTATCAAATGCAAAATGTAGAAAAACTTTTAACCAACTAAAGTCTCCCACTCCCAAGGAGATGTCTGTATTCCTAATTTCTGTAAAACTTTATCAACAGTGGGCACAAGATCATCTCCAAATTCCCAGAGGCTTCTGTCGAGGACCAGCTGCTCATTGGTCCAGCTCTCTCTCTGAGCCTTTTTCACCTGCATGATCTTACACACGTCGGACGGAACCCTCACAGTGTCCCCATAGTTCTGTGTCACCTCAAACATGGCCGTCTGCAGCACCAAACGGGGGTTGACCACCATCTTGTAGGAGCGGAAGGCGTCTTCAAGAACAGGCTCTCTGTAGATGTAGTCCAGCAGATCCACCCCCGGCGCCCTCCTCTGTGCGGAATGGTCTGGCGTAGCGGTACCGGCTGTGGCAGGGAAGAGGTGCGTCTCCATCAGGAACACGGCTGCGTCGGGGTGCTGCCCCTGCAGGTCCTCCATGAGGGGCAGCAGAGAGCTGTGTGAGACCGGGACCAGGAGCTGATCAACGTCAGCCAGGAGGACGTACCGCGACCTGTACATGTTCCTGTAGATGCACTCGTTCATGATAGTCAGCTGGCCGTTTAGGTGGATATCCCCTTCCAGCTCCTGGGCCTCCCACCCAGTAGAGGGCTTGAGGAAGTGGTTGATGGGCCAGCCGATCACCTCCAGAGTGCCCTCCTCTGCGTAGTGCTTGAGGACCTTCTCCAGGTCAGGCCCACAGCTGGTGAGGTAGAGGACAACCCTCCGCACCCCCAGGAGCTTGTAAAACTCCATGGTCTGGACAAACTGTTGGACGTTGTTGTAGTCTCCAAACATGCTGGACATACACACGGTGAGGTAAAAGGGGAAGTCCTCCTCCCGTCTCTCCCGGTTTTGGATGCTCAGAAACGGCCGGTTGAGGGCGTCCTGGCTGTAGAGAGATGTGCTGAGAGTGACGTGCGTGGCGTTGCATCCTAGTCCTTCGCGGCAAAGAATGTCTGCAGCCACATACGGGTATCCATAGTGGACGCTGTGCGTTACGACAGCAGCTGGAACGACCTGGGGGGCGTGTCCAGAGCAGCACAACACACAGTACAGAGACATGGGTCGGTCTCTGTTGACCATGGCAACGATGCGCGTGGCTCCCCCTTTCCTGTGGTCCTGGTATGCAGACACCATTAGATGCATTGAACCCTTGACTGGTGTTACAGTCTCATTGGCTGTGTGAAGAGGGCAGGTAGAGAGATCAGGGGGAGGAAGGCAGCGTACTTCAGTAGAGTTGGATCTGAAAGTCACCAATGGGTAAGACAGTGTGACAGACACTGTGACAGACAGACACAGGATGATCAAACCGACTTTCCATATCTGACTCCTGGTTTGGTGCACGTCAGCCATCTGATCTGTTGGAGACCAATAGGAGGATCATGTCACAATCAACAATCATGATGATAACACAACGAGAGTAACAACAACAACCGTCATCATCATCACAAACATCCTCACTATCCCTGTCATAATCAAAACATACACAGGAGTATTATCAGTGATGCACTGAACAATCAGACAGAGAAAATCAAGTCAAACTAGCTTTCAATCAGCTTAAACCTGTCATTCTGACAGCAACATTCCAACGGTGTAATTAATACATTTCATATACAGTATGCTATAGCAAAAAATAATCATTTGGTTGTGTTCATGAAGGCCTTGGGTAACAACATTAGCATACCATTTTTATTTTATTTCAATTAACACGATAGCATTTTAATTAGTTTATGTTACTGTAGGTTATATGTACAAACTAAAAAACACAAACATTAAAGTGTTCAATCAATTTTATTTGTGGAGTGACTTTGTTAAAACTATGAAATAGAAAGCATATGTGTTGGAACATTGTAACAGGTTATTTTTATAAAGACAAAATAAAAGTAAAATACCCCAACCACCCAGAGCAGTCAAGACGCGCGGTCAAATGATGTCATCAATAGCCTAAACATAATAATATGCCATTTAGCAGATGCTTTTATCCAAAGCGACTTAGTCATGCGTGCATACATATATATTTTTTTGTGTATGGGTGGTCGCGGGGATCGAACCCACTACCTTAGTGTTACAAGCACCGTGCTCTAACAGCTGAGCTACAGAGGACCACATCTTTAGAAGGGCCAAGTGGCCTTGATAAATAGTGAAACTCAATAATGATATTATAATGAATATAAGTGTCGATATGACAGCAGTCAAAAATAGTCCATTATTGTCAGCTTGTGCTTCTGTGCGTCTTCACGCAATGGCATCAGTTGGATTTCATTTAGCTGTCCTAACAGTTGGCACAATTTTCGTAGCTTTCACTTGCTCGTCACACTTCGACATAACTTTGTTTGGTTGTAGTGCATAATAGTCTCCTGTTTTCACTTTATTTTGTGTTCCAGTTGTCTTGTCATCCTTCAGCACTTGTGGAGTACAACAATTGCCAAGGTGCCTTATTTTGAGCAGAGGGAGGGAGATACCATCTCACTTTGTTCATGGTGCCGGTCAGACCTGTTTTCTTTGCACGCAACTTGTTCGCCAATGACAATGAAGGAAGAACTTGTCCATGGTGACAGTTATCTTGCCAAGGTAAAGTTCAACAAGCCTCACCACATTCTCTGACACTCGCTCAACTGCTGCCCGATGTTGATATTTTCCCAGCTATTGAAAGCCATTCAACATGTACAGTGCTATGAAAAAGTATTTGCCCCCTTTCTAACTTTCTCTACTTTTGCATATTTGTGATACTGAATGTTATCAGATCTTCAACCAAAACCTAATATTAGATAAAGGGAACATAAGTGAACAAATAACACAATAATTACATATTTATTTCATAAACAAAGTTATGCAACACCCAATTCCCCTGTGTGAAAAAGTAATTGCCCCCTTACACTCAATAACTGGTTGTGCCACCTTTAGCTGCAATGACTCTAACCAAATGCTTCCTGTAGTTGTTGATCAGTCTCTCACATCACTGTGGAGGAATTTTGGCCTGCTTTAACTCAGTGACGTGTGGGTTTTCAAGCATGAACTGCTCGTTTCAAGTCCTGCCACAACATCTCAATTGGAAATTTGGTCTGGACTTTGACTAGGCCATTCCAAAACGTCCAATTTGTTGCTTTTTAGCAATTTTCATGTAGACTTGATTGTGTGTTTTGGATCATTGTCTTGCTGCATGACCCAGCTGCGCTTCAGCTTCAGCTCACAGACGGATGGTCTGACATTCTTCTGTAGAATTCTCTGATACAGAGCAGAATTCATGGTTCCTTCTATTAAGGCAAGTCATCCAGGTCCTGAGGCAGCAAAGCATCCCCAAACCATCACACCACCACCACCATGCTTGACCTTTGGTATGATGTTCTTACTGTGGAATGCAGAGTTTGGTTTTCGCCAGGCATTACTGGAACCATGTCGTCCAAAAAGTTATACTTTTGAATCATCTGTCCATAGAACGTTCTTCCAAGCGTCTTGATGATCATCCAGGTGCTTTTTGGCAAACTTGAGTCAACTTTTTGGACAAGACGGGTCCCATTATGCCTGGCGAAAACCAAACACTGCATTCCACAGTAAGAACATCATACCAAAGGTCAAGCATGGTGGTGGTGGTGTCGTTCTGCGGTCAACAAGGCACAGTTCATCTCAGCCTATGCTACCCTCCAGTCCCTCGACTTCTAGGTGCTGACGGAAACATGGATTACCACAGAAAACACTGCTACTCCTACTGCTCTTTCCTCGTCTGACCATGTGTTCTCGCATACCCCGAGAGCATATGGTCAGCGCGGTGGTGGCACAGGAATCCTCATCTCTCCCAAGTGGACATTCTCTCTTTTTCCCCTGACCCATCTGTCTATCTCCTCATTTGAATTCCATGCTGTCACAGTCATTAGTCCATTCAAGCTTAACATCCTTGTGATTTATCACCCTCCAGGTTCCCTTGGAGAGTTCATCAATGAGCTTGACACCTTGATAAGTTCCTTTCCTGAGGATGGCTCACCCCTCACAGTTCTGGGTGACTTTAACCTCCCTACGTCTGCCTTTGACTTATTTCTCTCTGCCTCCTTCTTTCCACTCCTTTCTTCTTTTGACC